TTCTTCAAACTCGCGACGGGTCCGTTTCTTATCCGCCCATTTCTTCATGCGCGCGGCCGACTTCTCCAAGTAGAGTTTTGCCTCGTCGGCCCGTTCTTGCCAATCTTTGGCAAACTTGTATGCGGGTGGGCTATTGCCCTTGTAGCCCCCAAGAATGTCCTTAGGCGTAGTCGGTTGGAAACCAAGGACAATCTCAAACGGACTTTTGCCCGTGCTCTCACTCCGCATCAAGTTATAGGAAAATTGGGCAACGTCTAGCAAACGTACCCAATCTTTCTGGTTGGCTGCCACATAGTGCCTAAGGTACACCTCCAAGAGGCCGTTGATGCGCTCCGTCTGCCCATCCGTTTGCGGGTGCAAAGATGTAGACATCTTGAGCTCCGTCCCGAGCAAACGAAAGAGTTCTTGCCAAAAACGGCCAGTGAACCTTGAGTCCTTGTCACTTATGATTGATGTAGGCAGCCCCCAATATTTCACCACATGCCTAAGAAAGAGTTTGGCCGTTATCTCCGCGGTGCACTCTTTTGGGGCGGGTATGAAGACCCCATACTTAGACAAACGGTCTACCACAACAAGTATGTTGGTCCAACCCTCGGAAACGGGCAGGCTCACGATGAAATCCATCGAAACGCTGTCCCACGGGCGTTCTGGAATAGGCAAGGGTGATAACAAGCCATGCGGGTGGTCTTGCTCGATCTTGTCTTGTTGGCAAACTAGACAAGTCCTTACATATGTCTCCACGTCTTCCCGCATGCGAGGCCAAAAGAACCGTTCATGTACTAAAGCAAGTGTGCGATGCGTACCTGGGTGACCCGCATAACGGCTATCATGGCAATCCCTTAGAATCTCCCTTCTAAGTCCATCCCATGCGGGCACGTACAAACGGTTCCCCTTGACATAAAGTATCCCATCCTCAAGCCAGAATCGCGTTGTCTTGCCTTCCTTCACGAGCTCCATGAACCTTTGGGCTTGACAGTCGTGCTCAAGACCCTTCTTGATGCGATCGACCAATGTCCCCTCGGGTATGCTAACGATTGGTGCAAGACACGCCTTTCGGCTTAGGGCGTCGGCCACGTAGTTAGTCTTCCCCGGGCTATACTCAAGCTCGTATTTAAACTCGGCCAAGAAGTCCAACCAACGCGCTTGCTTGCTTGAAAGCTTAGGTTGGCTTTGATGGTAGCTCACTGCCCGATTGTCCGTCTTGATCTTGAACGGTGTGGCGGCCGTCAAGTAATGCTCCCAAACTCTAAGGCAGTGAACTATAGCCAACATCTCCTTCTCGTGCGTCGGCCACCTTTTCTCGGTCTCGTTCAACTTGCGACTTTCAAAGGCAATCGGGTGACCATCTTGCATGAGAACGCCCCCAATGGCGAAGTCCGAAGCGTCCGTGCACACCTCGAACGGTTTCTCAAAATCAGGAAGAGTTAGGACTGGCTCTCGAGTGACGGCGTCTTTTAAAGCCTCAAACGCTGTTTGGTGTTTTGGTGTCCAACACCAAGCTTGCCCCTTTTTCAAGAGATCCGTTAATGGAGCGGCTAGGCGGAGTGCCCTTCAATGAATCGCCGATAGTAATTAACAAGTCCCAAGAACGATCTCAGCTCTGTTGGATTCGTGGGTGCCTCCCACTCCACGATAGCTTTGATTTTGGCCGGATCCATGCGGATTTGGTTCCCACCAATGATGTGTCCCAAGAACGACACCTCTTCAAGGCCGAAGGAACACTTTTCCCTTTTAACATAGAGCTGATTTTCCCGAAGGACTTGGAAAACGGCTCTAAGATGCTCCACATGCTCCTTTGTTGTGTTACTATAGATGACGATGTCGTCCAAGTATACTACAACGAACTTATCAATGAAATCGGCTAGCACGCATTGCATCAAAGTGCAAAACGTGGCCGGGGCGTTAGTTAAACCGAACGGCATAACAAGAAACTCATAAGAGCCATACCTCGTCACCATGGCCGTTTTTGGTTCATCATCGGGTGCTATGCGTACTTGGTAGTACCCCTTCCGCAAGTCCAACTTGGAAAAGATCCGTGCCCGTTGCAGCCGGTCGAACAAGTCCGATATAAGTGGGATAGGGTACTTGTTCTTCACGGTTAGCTTGTTTAACGCCCGATAGTCGATGCACAAACGTAGCGTCCCATCTTTCTTGCGTTGGAACAAGGCCGGCGAACCCCACGGACTTTTAGACGGCCTTGCATGACCCGATTCAAGTAGCTCCTTGATTTGCACCTTGAGTTCCTCTAGCTCGCTAGGGGACATACGATAAGGCACCTTGGCTATCGGTTTCGCCCCGTCCCCCAACTCGATGGCATGATCAACCTCCCTCCTTGGTGGAAGACCTTTGGGTAAATCGTCGGGCATCACGTCCTTGAACTCACCAAGGACTCGTTCTATGGGAGGCGGGATTCGTTCTTCCTTTGCCGGCTCCTCTGTGCATGGTTCCTCCTCAAACACCATGGCGGTAAAGGTGTGTTCACCCCGCTTTAGCCCCTTGTTCAGCTGGGAAGGGCTAATCTCGTTTTCGCACCTAAACTTCACCACACAAAGCTTCTCGCCTTGGAGGATCACCATCGTTTCGTTGCTAGGCACGATGATCGGCTTCACCTGGTCTAGAAACTCCATGCCAAACACAAGACCATAATCATCCATAGGTGCAATGGAGAAATTAGCCGTACCTGACCAGTTGCCAATTTTAAGAGGCACGCCTCTTGCTTCGCCCACAAGACCTGTCCCTTCATCGTTCACACCCTTGAAACGGCCTTTGCTAGGTGTCCACTTGACTCCAAGCGTACGGGCGACCTCTTCCGTGAGATAACTCGTATCGACCCCCGTGTCTAGCATGCCCCATCTAGACCCCTTTGCGAACGATGCCTCCATGTAAAGACGGCCTTGACGTGTCTCGACCTTGGCATGCACGGCGTCTAGCCGTTTCATGCAAGCGACTCGTTTCTCCTCTTTTTGGCACAAACCTTGCGCCAATGCTGCCAACTTTGAACGAGACGGGCAATCGTGTGCCATGTGCGCTCCCCCGCACAAGAAGCACCCTTGAAACTTCTTTGGCTTGTCCCCCTTGGTCTCCTTGCTTGAAGACTTTGTGGAGTCGGCTGTCGGTTTCGCGGGTGTGGAAGACTTCCCTTTGTCTCCCCCATCTTTGCCTTGGAACGGCTTCTTGCCCTTGTCCTTGGAGCTATCCTTCTTTTGGAACTCAACAAGCGACTCGGCCACCTTTAACGCCCGATCGATGTCCTGGACTTCTCTCCGTTGTAGCTCAAGTTTGGCCCAACGGTTGAGACCGTCCATGAAAGTAAAGAACGCCTCCTTGGGCGAGAGATCCGGAATTCAAGCATCAAGTCCGAAAATTCCTTAACGTATTCCCGGATTTGGCCTTCCCTATGGTGCAGACGACGAAGCTTGGCCCGGGCTTCGTCTTCCGCATCCACGGGTAGGAAATACTTTCTAAACTCTTCTTTAAAACCATCCCACATGATGAAGACCGGGTCTCCGTCTCCCACGGGTTTCATCATACGTTTCCACCATGATAAAGCACTATCTTTAAGATAAAGGGAGGCTTGGAAGAGTCTTACCGAGTCGTTCATGATATTCATAGCCCCAAAGTACCGTTCCATGCTGTAGAGAAAGTTCTCTATGTCCCTCAAGCGACGGCTGCCCTTGTATTCATCCGGCTTGGGCGCTTCAAGCCTTGGAACCGTCCTCACGGCTCCGGTTGTCCCTTGCACGGCCACGGCATCAAGCTGTGCCTTAAGACGCGCCGATTCTGCCCGAGAAGTCTCCAGCTCCCCCATAAGCCGGTTGACGTCGTCTTGGAGGGCGGCAACACGAGCAAGGCTTTCCTCCTTCGACTTGTTGCAACGTTCCACCATTTCATTGAGCGTTCCTAGCATATCGTCCTTCATTTGCTGCATGACCTCTTGCAATTCCCCTGCGAATCGCTCCATGCGAGCTTCGACGACCCCTGCTACCACCTCAGGGTGCTCGTCCCAACGGTCTTGGTGGTCGGCCACAGCAAGCTCTAGCTTGGCAAGCCGTTTCTCGAATTCCACCATCAGCTCCCTAACGACCGACTTCTCCTTGCGGCTTCCTTTGCGGGTGGTCCTCCCCACCTCACGGGAAACGTGATCCCCCTCAAGCTCCGACCCTTGAACGACTTCCGAAAGGTTGGACATAACTTATGCACGAAAGAAAACCAACAAACGTAAGTGTAGACGATGTAGCACACCAAGTATCGAGCCGAGGCTCTGATACCAACTGTCACGGGCTTACTTTTTCAAAGTAACGGCCGTGCGGCACTAGCACAAAACAACTAACGATCAAGTGCTAGCTCAGCCTTAAGACCCCCAAAGCGTGCAAAGCTAGGCAAGGTTTTAAAGAACGAAGACAAAGAAAAACTTAAGAAAGGTTGAAAGTGAAAGAACGATGAAGGCACAAGAGAGCTTAAGGAATGCTTGAGAACTCTACTCAAAGCTTGGATGGATTACAAATGAAGGGGCCATGGGGTATTTATAGGCAAACCCCAAGTCCCAAAGAATTCTAGAGAATTCTATGCACATAATAAAATAATGGAATTCTAGAGAATTCTTACCATAAAATATTCTAAGTCTAAAATATCTACAAATCTCTAGAATTCTCCACACGGTTCTAACAAATTCAGGTAGCTTCCACACGGTTCTACCCGTTTCTAGAGAGTTCCGGGCCTCTCTAGAGAATTCCAAAGTCTTCAAGATTTGACCGGAGAATTCCACAAGGTTCTAGACCGTTTCGTCCCATGTCCGTCTACGAAAATAGTCACAGCAAACCACCCGAATTCGTGAGGAAGAAAAACTGTCCGTGACAGTTGGACCATTATCGCGGGATGGGCCAGTCCAGTAATCCTCGGTGGATATGGACTCGGCAATACTTAAACTAGATACAATGCTTCATATAAGAACTTGAATCAAAATATTCACGTATAGATAATAGAGATCGAACAACACAACACCCCAACCCCCCAACCCCACAAGCAAAAAGGCATACCGCCCGTTAAAGCATCGGTTGCTTCAACTTCAGCAAATTTGGGCAGCTGATTCTCTCTACTTCCGTCTCCTTTCTTCTCTTTATCTTCTTCAATTGGCTTTTTATCCAACGACCGATCGAATGAACGAATCCGCCTCCAAAATTCTCCTTGACGTTTCCCTCTGTCTTATGACTCCAGTTTGAAAACTTTAATTTCAGTCGATTGAGGAAGTCATGGCGTACAGATGAGATCAGCCTCGAGCTGAGTTCAATCATCATCAACACTCTCTCTACAGCTACAAAAGACATTTTCGTTCGGGAGCAATGCCTCTGACGTACGATTTCTGGTCAGTCCTCTTTCATCTGTCAATTTTATATTTCTTTAAATTTGTGTCAGTTGGTTAATCAATCTCGTTTCCGTCAACTTTTCTATTTTGGAGCTATTGTTCCATCAGATATTTTGGATTGGAGAAATTGAAAATCGATTTCAGTTTTTCTATTGCACAAAAAAGTATAACAATTGAAAAAAAAAAAAAAACTGAAAATTGCCGTCTGTAGCATGTTGAATGCTGTAACTATTATTGCTTAAAAGTATGAAAACTGTTATGAATGGCATGATGTTTGCAAAGGACGGTTGGAATTTAATCAGATTTTGGTAGTTCTGTTCTATTGTATCAATTCAGGTTGAAGCATACAAAACTTGTGGTTTCTTACTTGAGTAATCTTGTCTAAAGTTTAGGTCTCATTATTTGCCTAACTTTCTATCTTTTCAATTAAGATTGAGCTTTACGGTTTATGTCACGTCTAAGGCTATGGATTGCTGAACTTACTGGAACGAATTCAAACTAGCTACTCTTCCTCAAGTAACTCATCTGACTAGCTGATTTAGTAGGATTGTGTGGCTGTATTTTTGTGCATAATTATGGTGATGTAGATTTTCGGGTGGTTTACCTAATTCACCCGCTGATAGTGATGGATATTATATATATGTATATATTAATCAGAAATCTCTTTTTTTGCATTGTTTTATTTTGAGCTATTAAAAAGAACATTGTTATGGGGCCCGGCTTAGCAATTAGTCATATTCTATTTCCGCATAATCTCTTGTTATCTCACTCGAATGATAGTACTGTCCGAATTAGGTATCAGTGGGTGTAAGCTTACCCGTTTGCCCTTTCCACCATGGATAGCTTCTAGCAGCGAAGACTTCGATGGTACGGTTTGTGTTAGCCTAGTGGCTTGGACGTTAATAAGTAGAATAGTAATAAGTTTGGGCTTGAACAACCGAATTTGTGAGCCCTTTAGTTATTTTGTAAAAGAAAATATTAAAATTTCAATATATTGTCCGACTGAATCACCCATACTGATAGGGAAGTTTCGCCGGGGCACTACAGTTTTGAATGTTGATGTGTGAAATTTATTATCTTGTGATAGTTTTCGTTATATATTTCCCTTCATGTCACGTTGAAGTAATTGAGTTAGTCTGTAAATATTGTTTGGAAAATGACATTACTTTTATTTTTTTCTTTTGGCAGGAGTGTGTTGGTATAACTTATTATCTGTTCTAAGGTGAACCCTGCAGAAATTAGATGTCCTGTGTTATCTCATTTGGTTTAATCTCGAGTTTCTAGGTGGTCCTTGTAGTTTAATGATTTGGTTGGCCTAACTGTACAAGGCCTACTTTTATTTTCTTTTTTATGGGTTCCCCTAAGAGAGCCAGGATCTCAGGGAAAAAAGATTATGAGGTTGATTCTGATGTAAAAATTGAGAGATTCAGGGATGACGATGAATGGGTTGAGGATGATAAAAGAAAGCACCGAGCTAGCAAATCACGAAGGCCTGGGATTGATGATGAAGAAGGTGCAGGGGTAGACGGTAGTGGGCAAAAGAAAGGTGGCGAGAGCCGTAAGAGATCAAGTGGCTCAGCCAGAGCTGATAGTGACGAAGATGATTTTGATACAACAAAAGATTCACTTTCTCGGGATGTGAAGAAGAGAAGGGAGGGGAACACTTTGGATCGACTGAATAATAGGTACCAAGAAGAAGAGTTGTTGGAAAGAAGGGAGGGAAGTAGAGAAAAGGGTCATGGATCTTCTGAGCATGGAAAAACTTCAAGAAGAAGATGGGATGATTCAGATGTTGCTTGGCGAGGTGAAGATAGCAACTATGTTGGTACGTCTGAGGTAAGAGTTAGGAGGCCTATTGAGTCTAAACGTGACAATTTTAGATTTAAAACTGATGCTTCAGTAATTGATCAGAATGAGAGCCAAACCAGGGAATCAGATGCTAGTGTTGAAAAGCTTATTATGGCTCAGGAATGGGAGGACAAAAATTCTGATCCTGCAAGGAATAATAGGGACAGATTTGATGCTTTAAGGGAAGAAGTTAAAGTGACTTCATTCAAACGTGAAGAGCATAGCCAGAAAAAGAATTCTGCTGGTATGGACAATGTCGACAGCCATGATAGGTCTATCAATGTAGACGAAGATAGCAATGCATGGATGAGAGACAAGACTAGGAGAGAAATAGACACGTCTAGGAGATCAGGGTCTCCCGAGAGGAATGGAAGACGAAATCATGAATTGGACCCCTCGGACATAGATTATGAACGAAGCAACTCTTTTAGGAGGAAAGAACAAGACCGCGATAGCTATAGAGATGATAGATCAAAAGCAAGAGAGGAGAGTTGGAATGACCGGAGCAGGGATCGTGAGGGCTCTAGAGAAGGTTGGAAAAGAAGACAACCCAACAACGTTGACAAGGAAGTAAAGGACATTAATGCAGGTTATGATCATGTCAGAGATTGGGATGTGCCAAGACGTGGCCGGATGGACCATGAAAGACCGCAAGGTCGATCCTCTGGTAGGAAAGATGGTAATAGAACTGAAGCTGTGAAAATATCATCAAAATATGGTATATCAAATGATAATTATGATGTAATAGAGATACAAACCAAACCCTTCGACTACGGAAGGGAGGACTCGAAATCCGTCCTTCCTAGAAGCAGCAGACTTCCTCCACTATCTGATACGTTAAATGTGACTGATGAAGAGAATGCTTATCCCAAGGAGGAAAGATCTAGAAATTCTGCTGAGGAACCAAAAGATACACTCGTAGATGAAAATGACTATCAAGCTGGAAAAGCACGTGGCCAGAAGGTTGGTATTGCTAATCGTGTTTCTGGGAACCAAAGCTCTGGTGGTGGCACACAGATGCTTCATGGAAACCAGGAGAATTCTTCTGTGAGATCTGGGTTACAAGGACTTAAAGGTAATAGATTACGAGGAAGGGGTAGACCTACTGGTAGAGATGGTCAACAAGTTGGGCTTCCAATGACAATGATGGCATCACCTTTTGCACCACTTGGAATGCCACCACCTGGATCACTGCAATCTTTAACTCCAAGCATGTCTCCAGCACCAGGACCCCCTATGTCTCCAGCTGTCTTTATGCCACCATTCCAGCCTCCAGTTATTTGGCCTGGTGGTCGAGGTATTGACATGAATTTATTAGCTGTTCCACCAGTTCTTTCACCTGTTGCTCCTGGGCCTTCTGCCCCCCGGTTCCCCCCTAATATAGGGACCTCACTGAACCCACCTATGTATTTCAATCAAGCAGTTCCCAGAGGAGGTCCACCAAATGTACCTGCCCCAGGTTTCAATCCTGTGGCGCCCTCTGGGTGTGGACAACCACCTCAAGATAAAACATCTGGTTGGGTTCCTCCTCGATCCGGGGTACCTCCTGGTAAGGCTCCTTCCAGAGGAGAGCAGAATGATTATTCTCAAAACTTTGTTGACACTGGTATGCGTCCTCAGAACTTCATTAGAGAGCTTGAGCTCACCAGTGTCGTTGAGGATTATCCCAAGCTTCGAGAGCTTATACAAAAGAAAGATGAGATTGTCGCAAAGTCAAATTCTCCTCCTCTGTATTTGAAGTGTGACCTGCGTGAGCAGGTGCTTTCTCCAGAAGTTTTTGGTACTAAGTTTGACGTCATTCTTGTGGATCCTCCTTGGGAAGAGTACGTTCATCGAGCACCTGGCGTTACTGACCATATGGACTATTGGACAATTGAAGAAATAATGAATCTGAAAATTGAGGTAGATTACTTAAACAACCCTGTCCCCTCCCTCTTTGTCTTCATACATTATAGAAGCGGAAGAAATGGGTGGTTGCTGATATCAAGTTTTTATCCTCTTGACTGGTGATATGCATTGAAACCTAAATTATGTGCTCTTTGGCCTTGATTCTCATTTTGTTATTCCTAGCAGATTCCTGCTGCTTCCCTATTTGCAACTGCATGGTTGTTACTCATTTTTTTTTAACTTGCAGGCAATTGCAGACACACCTTCTTTTATTTTCCTTTGGGTTGGTGATGGCGTTGGGCTTGAGCAAGGTCGCCAATGTTTAAAGAAGGTAGGCTAATATGTTTGGTTAAAACATGATGGTATAAGTTGATGCTTCTGTGTTGTATAGTTTTAGTATTAACTCTTGTGTTTGAGTGGTATGAGGTTGCTGAAGCAGTGCTAACTTGTGGTACATGCTGGTCTCTTTATTTTAAATGCAGTGGGGATTTCGAAGGTGTGAAGACATATGTTGGGTGAAGACAAACAAAACTAATGCAACTCCTGGATTACGGCATGATTCTCATACTTTATTCCAGCGGTCAAAGGTTTGTGATGAATTTTGTTTGCTGTCTATTATATTTACTAGGTGGGGAGAGTCTGACTTGGACTATTTGAAGCTTTAGATAAAGGAAAAGGAAAGTAAATCTAATCAGAATAGTTTCATTAACCCAAAAAAATATATATATTTACAAAAGGATTGCAAACGTAGAACCAAAATGTAAATAAGAATCAAATATTTTGTTGGAGTTGAATGATTTGTTCACCACAACAATAATCTGGAATTTCAAATTGGTGCTTTTGTGTCTGTTTTTGAAAATCGCCTAAAGTATGCCAATTGAACTATTGTCAAACCTGCTAGATGAAGCTTGTTTTAGAAGCTAATAGTAAAAAGTATTGTTGAAGGATAAAAAATTATAGGTTTCACCATCCAGGAGACAATGGAGGGAACTAAGATACCAAATTTGAAATTAAAATAAAGCTGAAAATCTAACACCATTTTGGTTCATTTAATGCACCATTCCATTATGAAGGAACTAAATACACAGTTGTCATTACTTTGCTCTATCTTTCAAAAGCTACTTAGCATCCTTAACACAATCTTTTTGTTTCTACATTGGAAATCTATATCCGTGATGTGCGAAATAGAGCAGATTATAGTTGGAGTTGAGATAGCCATACCAAATATGTAGTCCTAGTTTTTTTGAGCTTTTCTATTCATATATGAGAATCTTTTCAGCCTCGCCAGATTCTGGTACTGGATTTTAGCAATATAGATTGCTTCGGGGATAAATTGAACAATTGATCAACACCATGCTCATTATTTTTTAGCAGATGCATCTCATCAACTTCCTGTCCATTGTCCAGCTTTTCCTAAAGTATATCATACCAAATTTACGATCTCACTCATATTGAGAGTTCTTAGAAACTGGAAGAAATGCGAGTTTTGATTTATAAGCCCATGATTCCCTGTATGCTTGTTATATAACATGAACCAAGAACATAAACTAAAGAATTTTGAAGATCCCCAGTAAGTCCAGAATGTGCAAAGTTCAATCATATATTGGAAGGTCCAGCAGAATGATACATTCTGATGATCTAGAATTGATGGATTTATCAGTACTAAAGTCAATACACCACGTCCTCATGAAACCTTGTATAGGCATATTAACAAACACATACAATGCAAACAAAAAAATGACTACTCTAAGAACCAAATGTGCCTAACAAATATGGGTGTTCAATAATCCGGAGGAAAGAAATAACAACTCTGAATATCAATATTCCAAATTTTTTCTCACCAACAGAGCATTTCCAAACTTCACCTATTAGTACCACCACCCCCAAGCCCCCCAACCAAACCAACCCAAAAAAAAAGAATGTACCTGCAATGTCGAGATCGGGATCTTTACTTCCTCTATTTTCTGGATTCGAATTCAAACAAGTTTTTCTTTGGATTAGTTGGGTAGAGCATAATCTTGGGATAGAAGTTGGAGAAAGGGGAAAAAGCTGGAGTGAGAGAGAGTCAAATTAGGGCATGATGAGGCATCCCCTGCCGCTGAAACAGCGGCATCTTAGTTTTCCTGAGAAATAGACACCAGAGTTGTCAAAGTTGATTTTGCAAATGAAAAGGATGAAAGTGGCATGAAGCTGAGAAGAAAGATCCGGAAGTAATGGTAAGAGGGGCCGCAAGGAAAGATGAGCCTAATAGAGGATGACACGTGTAAAAATGATAACCAGTTACTTAACCTATACGGGACTCTATCCGGTGGATCCGCTCTTAGTATATAGTAGAGATCCTTAGAACCAGAGCAAGCACTGTCTAGTGCCACATTAAAAAACTGCTGTTTCTGTTTTACTTTTTGTTACGTGTTCATAGAGTAAATTGCTAATCTGCTGTTTGCTATCACAATGTAGGAACATTGCTTAATGGGCATAAAGGGAACTGTTCGTCGCAGTACTGATGGTCATATAATCCATGCCAACATCGACACTGATGTCATAATTGCTGAGGAGCCGCCTTATGGTAATTTGACCTGGATTTGCAACTTCTGTGTTTATTTGTGCTCTTAGGATGCAGCTTACATGTCTTCAATACTCTCACTAAATCCTAATGCAGTGATAATCTAGAATTCTTTGCATTTAATACTTTTGTTATTCTTGTTAAAAGTTTTCTTTTAAACTGGAAACTTATTTGTACTTCAACCAAAAAGAAAATAAAATAAATTTATACAAACCGCTGTCTATAATAAAACAATAAATGTGTCATGATTGTTTGTCATTGTGGCTGAATTCAGTGTCCTCCTTCAATGTTGTAGGATCTACTGCAAAACCTGAAGATATGTATCGAATAATTGAGCATTTTGCTCTTGGCAGAAGAAGACTTGAGCTCTTTGGAGAGGATCATAACATTAGGCCTGGCTGGTTAACTGTTGGTAAAGGGTTGTCCTCATCAAACTTTAATGCTGAGGTATAATGATGATCTACTCTTTAGCAGGCTGTCATTTGATACTACTTGAAATGGGGTTTTCTTCGTTGGATGATGATTCTCTTATTATAATGTTATTCTCGAGTAACTTTTGGTAGGCTTCTATTTTGCATTTGTTTATTGGTCCTGAGCAAGAATGGAACGTTTGCAGGCATACTGTCGAAGTTTTGCTGATAAAGATGGGAAGGTTTGGCAGGGCGGCGGAGGTAGAAATCCTCCTCCAGAAGCGCCACACCTTGTTCTGACGACTCCAGAAATTGAGGCTTTGCGTCCTAAGTCACCAATGAAAAATCAGCAACAACTGCAGCCACAGTCTTCATCAATCTCTCTGACAACTGGCAATTCCTCAAACCGGAGACCTGCCGGAAATTCACCACAGAACAATAGTACACCAAGCATGAACCAGGAGGCCTCCAGCTCTAACATGTCGAACACACGTCCTTGGGTTTCTCCGATGGAAGGGTTTAAAGGAAGAGAAGGTGGACCTATGCCGCCTGAGATGTTCGATATGTATGGTTATAATGCATCTTATGGTCCTAATAGTGCTGAGTTCATAGGTTACGAATCCCAGAGAGCTATGAATATGTTACAGCATAACGCTCCATTTTAATTGCTTATTTGTTATTGTAATTTGTACAATTTTGTATGGCATTTTTTTTGGCCTATTTCAAATTGTTGTGTCTATTTTTTTCCTTGTATTTCTCGCGCAATTGGTATTATAGGTTTCCTTTTCATCACCTCTTTTCCGCTTCATAACTTATTGTTGTTCCCAAATTACCAACCTGATCATCCTTTTGTTTTGTAAGACATCTTTACATGTTAAGCTGGTAATGTAGTACATCATGACATCTAAGTGAAACAGTTGTGAACTCAAAAGGACAAAACACTTTTGCATTACAGGTGTGGATTTTCTGCATAAAAAGGTTGATCCACAAAAAAAGTAGGATCGTCGTGATCTGCTGGTCCTTTGAAGTTAGGACATTGATTGTAGTTAAGGATTTCTGTTGTAAACCTATATGATGTCATCTTGATAGAGTTCTAAAGAAAGTTCATCTACAAGAGTCATTGTACACCATACTCCATCTCCTCAGGTTTGGGGGACTGTTCCAAGGGTAAAATACTCATTTATGGCGGTTTTGGCTGAGCAAAACTTCACCTATAAAAAAGTCCATTGATGAGTTATGATGCTTAAGTATACATATAACATAACCGAAAGAAATTAATCAGTCTTCCTTTGAAGACAAACTTTTTCATCTTTTCACTGTCATATGCGGTCATAACTCTTCATTCCCTAGAAACAGTTTTGCTGATTGAAGGACAAAAGCAGGACCATGCATAATCTGGAATCAAATTGTTGAGCATTTAATTGACTATTCAACTTAATATTCCCGTAATGCAATTAAGCTTGTGTATCGAGCTTAATGCCCCCAGCAAGCAACTTACTGAAGCTAATACAAAACATGAATTCATGGAAACAACATCCTCGCGTCATAATAAATAAAGAGTTTTAAGATGGCTCATTTTCAATATGAGGTTTTCAACTAATTTGTTACCTCAGTACAAACGGACAACTTTAAGGCTATCCTTCAGGAAAGCAGATTCTCAATACGACCATTTCAACAAAACAATGTACTTTGATCCCATGTTTTGATTTTCAAAGCATTTGTATGGCTCAAATCTCAATGATGCAACAGTTAAAAGCCAAACTAAAAACTTCGAAACTTAAGAAAAGGAGATTCTCACCAGTGATGCATAAGATCTTAGCGCGGGCTTGACCAGCTGCCAAATTGGCTTGAATATGAAAGGAGCATCCTTGGATAGTAATAGCAGTACATCGAACTGCGAGTACTCAACATCATTTCATAGTTGTCTCCATCAAAGATATATAGGATATGAATGTAAGTGAAAAATAGTGGTTACTACTATTCAATTGAGGATCAAAATTTAAATTGATTTTAAATACAAAAATGATGCTTTTTTTTTTTTTTTCTAGTTTGTTTGGCCAACCTTCCATTTTACATTTTGTCTCATTTTACCTTTTAAACACAAAACCCAATAAAAAAGAAAACATCATCCAAATAACGGTCTGATTTACATTTTAAATTCCAACTTGAAACACTTTTTGTTAGCGTAATGGCCATTTTAGAACTACAAATAGTTCAGTGACAAATTTGACAGGATTCCGTTGTTGAGTGATTGTTTTTGGAAAAGTTCTTTTTTGCAGTGATTATAATTGACAGTATTTAATTGTTTAGTGATGACTCGTACTTGATATTTTTCAAAACCAACATCCAAACAACTTCTTGCTCAAAATATCATTCAAACAACATTTTCATTTTCTATTTAGTTTTTAACTTGAAACACTTACTACTTTTAAGTTGCAAAATGAAATGTAAGCTGATGTCCAAACAAACACGCTTTTGGCTAAACAAAATGAAATGTAAGACCGGTGAAAATTAGGAAAAGAGACAAGGGCCAGGGAAGCAAAAAGAATTTCGAAACAGGTTGAGAAGACTGTTAACTACAAAGATTTTATTTGATGGTGTATAAAATAGAGTTTCACATTCAGTATACAATATCATACTTACTATCTTTCATTATGAGCAAACAACAGTGAAATTAAATGGTGTGTATTTGCCAGGGTCTCATATATCAAGAACGACAAAAACTTGAGATCTGCATTCTCTGTACTAAATCCATGAAGATCAATTATTCCAAGCATTTGTTCCTGCCCAGGCTGAAGTTTACGTAATGCCTTCTCGACAAGATATACACATAACTTCTCATCTTCAGAAATATCCTGTTTCTGCAAATGTATTGCACATCAAACAACCACCCCCAACAAATGAGCAGCACCATTTCTTGAAACTTAATGAGCAAGGCAAAGTTCTATTTGTATGATTTAATGTGAGGTTGATCACAGATAAAGACAAAAGTAAATGTTCTGAAAATTTGCACCAAAAGAAGGATGACAATCAAAGAAGCCAAAAGAGAACTGTAAAAATCAGAGTGCTATATTCCTTCATCTTCAAGAAAATTGGTTGAGAGATGGAATTCCATATATATATTCACTCACTCTAATTGATATGGCGTAGTTTTTTAATGTGTCTGCAAATATAATGCCCATTCACTTTCCATTAAAATATCCAGAAGAACTATGCACCCTTTATAAAGTTCTCCAGTGAAAAATCTAAAACAATAACCATCTAACTGATATAAATACTAGTCCTGGGCGGTTGCGATTCATATTCCTCATCTAAAGCTTGGAAAATAATCTCAACAAATGTTTTATAATTATAAATAATCGAATACTGATTGTATGAGATAAGCATTTCGAATGTAAATAAATACTGTTACTTTTAAAATAAGCGATTTAAATATAGAAATTTTAAATAGCAAAGATGATTGATAGTAAAAGATGTTAGTGACGCGAAGATTAACTAAGCTATTTAGAAATTTTATGCTATTTTTTAATTCTTGATTCCTAACAAACTAAGCTAAAAAAAGGTTAACTTAAGCACTGAAATTGTCTAAGCATTTTTAGTTTTTTTTTTTTTTTTATATTTGCAGGGTTTCCACCATCTGACTAATCCTCTTGCTAAATTATAGACATCTCAATAGGTGGGACAGCTGGCCTTAAATACTTTAAGCATTTCTAGTTGATGTCTATGTACCATAAAGGTATATTTTCAATTTTTTTTTTTTAACGCCGAAAATCTCACTAGAGATGGGTAAACCCACGTCCACTGCAAAAGCCTGCAAATCACAATGCGAAGTAAATCACATTAGGGAAGCTCGGGGTGACAAGCTCGAGTGCGAAATCGAAAGTTCATTAGTAGGTTAGTTATAACAAACCCCTAGAGGTGTTAATAGGCAAGGTGCCAATAATGTGTATCATACGGGCATGTTTTCATTTTGCTTCTATTTTTTTTGTCCCGGTTTCTTGGAAACATTAATTTTTGTTATGTAGCATAATCATATACTACTTGCTAAAAAGGAATGCAAAAGTGAAGGACAAAAATACCAAAAGCGATTAGTGTTATGTTATCCAAATTCTTTTAATCGCACAGTTAGTATTACATGTGCGAGATAACAAGCACTTCACGTGATGTCAAGGACTTAATTTTTAAGTTTGCCAAGGTTAGATAAGAAAATGACTAAGGGAGAAAATAAGAGCAAAAAACTAATGCAATCAGAGAGGGAAAAAAGAAGTGACACATGAAAATAGAATAAAGCTACAATCGTATTATCACCAAAATGAAGGGCTAAATAAGAAATCAAGCAGCTGGCAAAATGACATTTTATTTGAAACATAAGAGTGAAGGTGTGAAACAGTTCAATCCAAATTTTAGAATGAAATAATCAGTTTAAGTAATACAATCCCCCTCTCAAGTAAATCTCAAAGAACACCAAGATTTCGCTCATTGCAATTTCTGCGCATGAAAAGATCAGATTTGCAGCAGAGAAGTGTGTCGCTCAAATAATGCTACTGAATGACCAGCTTAGTTCCAGCAGTTGGCGGTAGTGGTGCATTTTTTTACTTTAGAGGATCTTGATGCAGCTGCTTGTTGGATTCTTCGACCATGAGTTGATGTGGAGGTGACCTTGCTGGTCGCAACAACATAAGCTCCCTTGTACATGAGCTTGAGATCAGCTTTAAGGCCCCGAGCAGATCTGTATGCAGTTCCCTTCAAAGTGCCAACTTTGCTGGGCTGCCTGTTGAAGTAAGAAAGATGGGGGAGAAGGCCTAGCAAGTATTTCTTCACTTGTTCATCATCAAGGATTCTCTTCAAAGCTTATTGCCTATAGAGAGTTATAATTGGCAGCTGAAGTACACATTTGCTTGTAGAGATTTTGATGAAGTGCATATCAAGAACATCCAGTGTAAGCAGCCAGTGAAGACCCTCAACCTCGCTAATTTTGTTCCCAGCAAAGTAGAGTTCTTACATGGAGGAACAAGAAGAAAGTCCTTCAAAAATATAAAAACAAAATTCACCAGGAAAGGTGATAAAATGTGACAAAAGATTTGGAAGAAACAGAATATATAAACCTTTGATAGACAAAAAAGTCAATCAAACTCGCAACCCACACCAAAGAAGAGAAACGTCTAAAATGTGCAAGAGAAGAATTGATTTTTTCTTCTCTTACTGAATAAGTTAAAATCAGAACCTTTGTGAACCTTCGTGAAACTTAGCACAAACAAAAGATAAAATGGGGGGAGAACTATTTCCAATAAGTGTGGTAGAGGTCTGGGAAGAAAGAGTATATCATAGCAGTAACAGAATAGGAAACAACAGGTAATGGGGAAAAAACAACAGATTGTCCAACTTTTCTCCGCCAATTCACATGAACTGTGAATATTCTAATTGCAGATGTGCACAATAAACTTAAATAATCCCAAATTTTATGCTGCCAAAGCACTTGAATGTTATCTACCCTGTTATGAGAACAATATTTAGACAGTTTTTTTTTTTTTTTGGTAAATACATTTAGATAGATATCGGTTTGTATAAACCTTGCCATTATGCCCAATATGATGCTCTAATGCAAGTTGAACAGGCATTATAATCTATTAAATTGCATGGTTTTACTAATCGAAATTTAATGAATAAGCACAACGATCAGAGTATACTGAATTACCATCAGGCAAATTCCGGCTTCAATATCGCAAACCATAAATTTATTATGTTTAGTAAGGTAGTAAATTTATTTGCAAAGGAAACGCAGCTTCAACTCACCTGAAAATGAGGCCAGATAATTTTATTATCATCCTAACTTATGAAGCCTATATAATATAATTCGTTGCCTGTGTTAAAGAGCCGGCATTTCAATAAGTGTCACCCCAAACAATTGTGACGCAGGGTTGATGAAGAATTGCAAAAAAAAAACAAAAAACAAAAGAAAACGATCAAACCTTAAAAGTAATTGAGAATAAAAAACAACAATCAATCAATATCAGAGGAACACTATAGGAAAATGAGTGTTTTCAATTTTTCCCAAAAAAAAAAAGATTTAAAATAAGCAGCTACAGCAAATAAAAATAGTTGAAATGGGTTGCATGAGTGCGTAGCCAGAGTATTACAAGACCCAAAAAAAAAAAGGTCAATAGGCCATGAGACAAGTCTTATCTAAAGCATTTAAATCGAAATCAAAAAGGGATTGCCAGAAAACACAATACGAGTCAAGATTTCTAAAACAGCTTGCTGGAAAGCTAAAACAAGAATAATTCTAAGCAAAACTAATCACTCATGAATTTTGAATATTCTAAGCAACACTAAAGCAAAGGCTAATGAAAAGATCTCTAATTATTAAAAAAATTCACAATTAGCATAGCCAGAGTTTACAAAAATCATACCTCAATCAAGCAAATTATAGCATAACAAAACAAATTTTTCTGCAAGGGAAAAATTTTGCAAATATTGCTGGAAAAGAATGCATTATGTAGATAAAATATATAATCATAGAAGTACCTGTGAATTCTGACATTTTCACAACTCAATGTTGTAAAGCTGACGTAGGAAGCAACCCCATGCAGGACTATAGAGGTACAGATAACATTTCCAAGCCATGCAGTGCCATTTAAACTCTTGTTGCTAGTTCGTAGTATGCGTTGATTCTACTAATTTCAACAGAAAATTTAGACCACAATGGCAATGTAAATTTAGAACAAAAGGCATCTCAGTTATTTGCAGAAAAGTTACAAAAACTCTAATTTAAAGGAGTGACAAAAATCATCTTCCCAGGTTCCCTTCAAAAGTCAAATAACTAATCATCCACATTACTCCTCAAAAGATCCCATTACACCAGGACTATATTTATAGATTCTCTCTCTGATGGTTTCTTTGAAAAGTGTGTCTAAAATGAGATATCAATTGCTATAACATGCATAATACCTTCGGAACTCTCCGTGTCAAAGCAACAGGGGGACTTTTGAATCGACGAATTCATTCCAAGTTCAGTGTATTCATCATTGATGTAAGCTCATCCAACAAGGGGTACGCTTCAATATCCAGTTCTGATGCCTGATTGCAGTAAGGGGATCATAACCATTGATTAATATACATAATCATAAAGAGGAATGAGTGGATGATAATCAGCCAAAAATCTTACTTGTACTATTTTGACTGTGACGTTTCTAACTGCAATTTAACAATTAAAGCAAGTATATCTTTTATGCACCTGAGAGTCCAAAAACATGCAAGCAGGCTCGAGAGCAACTGAAAGGCCTGAAACTCGAAAGGCTAATAATCCGGGGATTTCGGATTCCCCTTCTGTTCACATCACGAGCAAAATATAAAATCAGAAGATCCTATCAAATAAGGAGAGATTGAAAACAATCTGTTATATCCAGCTGCTGCAAATTTTGCTTGGCACCCGGTATTGCAACCTGCATCAAGAAAAGCAACAGAATGTCAACATAATTGTACCACAATCCATGTAATGTAAGTACACAAGGAAATGTATTGCTAGTTTTCTCTAGTGGTGATGCAAAGAATTCTCACCAAGAAAATAACATAAGGCATGCCCTCAGATGCAAAATACTAATAGAACAAAATTAGCAATGCATCTATTAGACATGAAAGACCGTTATCAAACAATTGGAAAGTGAAGTTTATTAAAATTTTGTTCATTTACCTAATTTAAACGACAGTAGTTATGCTCAAGAATTTATACCCTCTACACAGACCAATCTACAACCTACCTTAAAAGAATTTGTTAGAAATTGCAGGACTACAGATAACATTTCCAACCAATGCAGTGCCATTTAAACTCTTGTTGCTAGTTAGTAGTATGCATTGATTCTACTAATTGCAAGAAAATTTAGACCACAATGCCAATGTAAATTTAGAACAAAAGATGCCGCGTTACAGTAGTTTAATATGAGAAAATCCATCGAAGAGGTATAGAAACCCTATGCATCTCCACACAGTCAAATTGCCTTAGAATAAAGAAGAATATTACATTTACGATGCCAAATGCACATCAACATTCAGTAAAATCTTCGCCCTCATAAGTAAACACGATTTCCAAAACTAACTAAAACACAAGTAACAACATATTTCATCAAAGATAGTTGGCAAATTTTGCCGGTGACAATGAAGCCTTCAATAATCAACTACATGATTCATAAAAATTGACACTGTAAGCTGTTGATTCAGGGATTTAAGTGCACCTTTTTGCAGTCACCCCAATACTCATAAATTATTCAGCAAAACAATTACGAGGAAAAAAAAAAAGATAAAACATAAAGCAAATGATACAGACTAAAAAAAACCCGGAAAACTAACAAAAGAAATCCACGTGGTGCTATAATCAGAAAATTGCTTAATGGTGATTAACACTCACAAAGTAAATCATGTCTGACACTTTTAGTATGTAATGGTCATGAATCGCTGCTTCGATTTCAGAACGGATGCAAATAACCCTTAAACAATATCAAACAAATTAGGCAAATTCTTAGGGCAAATGGAACCAGAGAAAATAAAGAATTTTCAAAAACTGTATCTTGGACCAACGAGATGCATCGGAGAGATTCCCATTTAGACCAAGTCATCTTTTACCATAATGGATTCTGATGTCCCTGTCTATTTTATCATCATTTGCATTTCATTTCAGTCATGATATAAATATAAACTAAATAATGCAGCTCCTTTGCCATCATATAAATCATTACACTATGAGAAATAGTAAACACAAATGGGATGTCAACATAAGCAAAAGACAAATAATGCCTTGTCAGATCAAAATACTTTTCATAGTTTGTAACCAACTCAAAGTATATTTGATTCCATCAGTGGCAACGCTGATCAATACTATTAAACCCGAAAAAACAAAACACAAAAATAGACAAAAAAAAAATTTTAAAAAAATCCTTAAATCGACAACTTGCATCAGAGATTCTGATTTCCTGAACTGTAACTCATTCTCCCCCAAAAGCTGGAGTAAGATATATGCAATTTAATTCGTCATCTACACAAAAACAAAATAAAATCCTATATCTAAGCCGAAAGTAGACTTAATTAATCAGCAATCTTGTGAACAAAGCAGGCACTCCCAGAACACCCATTGGAATATCCAGAATAAAAACAAATCAACACCACAAAATCATAAGAAAACCAACAACTATCAACCAAACTCACACAACCTATTGGAATATAGCAATAGCTTAATCCATGCTCATGTAGTCCAAGAGCTATTTCAGACCAAGCCCACAAGAACAGTTGCAATTGAACAACATGGGCGAAGAAAAGAGAAGTTGAAAATAAGGGTTTCAGAGACACCAAACATTAGGGTTCGTGGCGGCCAATTGGAGCTGCGTGCCAATTCTTCATCATTGTCACCTTCTTCTCATCATCAATTGCACCTCTGATTAGCAAAATAAACAACAACAACAAAGAATTAAACATCATTCAATGAATAAGCAAAGAATTATGGAAGTTGTTGGTTAAATCGTGCTTACCTTAGCTCAATAGTAATTGAATGCTTAGCTTCAACAGCAATTGAAATCGTGCTTACCTTAGCTCAATAGTAATTGAATGCTTAGCTTCAACAGCAATTGAAATCGTGCTTAGGACATGTACGGTTAGAACGTGCAGCTATTGCTAATTTAACTTTCTCTTCCTCCTGGGAATTGGTTAGCCAAGGACATCGCCCGAACTAACTACGTCACCAAAATCACCAGTGATGCCAGCCTATAGCAAAACTTCGGTGAGAGCATATGGTTTGAAAATTTTGTCGCGATGGTCTCTACCAAATCGCGTCTCCTCTCTCAGACTTGTTCCTCCGATTCAGTTTACAATGAATCTGACAAGCACGCACTCAAAAACTCTGGCTACTTCACGTTTCACAAATTATGATGGATTGGTTGGAACCCTATGAATATCCGGCCAGTGAGTTTGTCGACAGCCGTAGCACCTTTAATCGTCGACGGTGGTGGTGGAAAAACCGCAGGGAAAAACACAAACAGAAAAATAAGAAACGCCCCCAATTTCGCGGCAGTTGATGATGATTTCGAAGTCATGAATAGATTCCCTGGAAAAAATTGAATCAGAGGCGAAGGGACATAGGTTCGTGGAAGAGAGGTTGAAAGAGGAGGGGCGGCCAGGTTTTGGGGGATTTTGAGAAGAGTGAGGAAGGTATAAGTACAGAAATATTTTAATTTTTCAGGAGGAGGAGCTCTGAAACGACGTCGTTTTAAAGCGGGGGGATTTTAAAAAATAATGTCCCAAAACGACGTCGTTTTGGGTTCGTGGGTTTAAAATTAATGTCTCAAACGAGGTCGTTTTGGGTTCGGGGGATTTTAAAAATAGGTTAGAAAAATAAAATCTATTTATGGATTTACAATTATGTCCCTCCATAAGTTGCTGATGTCATGACGGACAATTTATCCAGTATACCCGAGAGCACCGTGCTGGTGCTCCTCCTCCTATTTTTTGCACTAGGAGTTCTTATTATACTTTTCATCAATATTTTTATAATTTGCAGGTTTAGTCTCTGTGACTTTTTATACCCTCCTTTAAAAAACATCTCTAATCTTTAAACGAGCATATCACTCAATTTGTGAAGAATTTGTGAACGAATTATATATGAAATTTATAGTATACGTCGAGATCTATCCAAAAAGATCTATATCAAATATTTTTTCCGAGCTTAAAAATGATTAAATTCTGATAGGCAGAATAAAGGTGGGATATCCAGTTTTACAAGATGAATAACCAAGTTATTTTAAATTAGTTATCTATTGTGTTCATACTGATTATCCAACCAATTTGAACTTGCTATACATTTTATTTGTACTGTTTATCCATTCGTTTTGTATGCCTATCCAACTTGTTTGTAATAGATATCTCACTTGTTTGTACTGGATATCCACTTGGTTTGTACTGGATATCCAACTTGTTTGTACTGGATATCCATCCGTTTGGTTTGTATGTCTATCCAACTTGTTTTGTAGTTGTAATCTAACGGGTTTACATGCATATCTAACTTGTTCGTACTAGATATTTATCTAACTTGTTTGTACTGGATATCCATCCATTTGGTTTGTATGATACCATCTCTTCACATATGGAAGTAACAGAATAAGTACCAAAAACAGAACAAGCATATGATTAAGATATCATCATTTCTTTAATAACAAAGATTGAATCTTGATAAACTCAAATTCCAAATATAATACGTAGGACAAAATAAAACTAATTTCCATGCATCTGGCATCCTCATTGACGAGAATAGAAAAAAACAATGTTGAGAGAATGAAATAGGATGTCAAACACTTCAATTTCAATCAAGAGTATCGCTTCAAACTGAAAAGCTTTATCAAGTTTGACCTAAAATGATAATCATCCAAATAAAATCAAAGAAAGAAGATAAAGTTACTTCAGAAATTACACGGTATCTATCATAAAGGGAGAAATACTATGGCTTTAGTCCATTTGGACACAACATCATCAACCGAGAACTTCCGGTCCTTCAAAAACCATAAAATCAGCTTTTCATCATCTCTTCTATTTCTCCCGACTGGATGATTGCTATATTCGCTTTGAAGTTTCTCTTTAACTTTTGCCACTAACTACAACATTTTAGGAAAGCACATGAGGAACATTACCAGGTATGGTTGATTAAAACAGGGTAATTAACAACAAAAGGGCTGTTTCAACATGTAAGAGATTCAAGGTATTTCGGCAAACTCATCCAAATCACAACTTATCAACGCCGTACAAATTTTGGGTTCCAAATTGCCATTCTTAACTCAACCTAAAAGTTAGTCTACCCTTGACTCCTCCCTTGACTCCTCTAGCACAAGAAACTTCAAAATTATTGCTTTTTGCGGGAAAGTGCATCATTTGATTCAACTAATTTGACTAATTTACAAACTCTCAAATCTAACTAAAAGGTGTTTCGTGCACAAATACTGATCAGCAGTTAACAAAGAACATCTAATAACAATATTTACAAGAAAGGACGATTGTAAGGAATCAAGAAGCAGCACAGAAAATATAGTTACCATTCAATTTTCTAAAGTGGTCATTCAACTCAAAAGTAGGGAAGGCACCAAACTAAACACACAAAACCTAACAGAAATATTTGTCAAGCTGCACATAGCAATTACCTTATGAGCATCATTTGGCGTCAAACAACAAACAAACATCCTTGGCCGGAAAAGCTTCCTGATTCCAATGCAGGATTTATTAGACTAAATTAGGGACTTAATATTGGAATCGGAATTAGGCTGCACATAGCAATTACCCAATTGATCTATTATATGTGAGTGGTATTTATGGGGAAGGGAATAGTAAGAAATTTCACTTGCGCAAGTCTTGATCTGGTACTCAGAAAGCCAAGCCTCCTAACGGGTATAAGTAAACTTGCACAAATTCAACATTGAAAGTGTTATTAGGGGTTTGGATACTTGAACTTCCAAGATGGATGCCAAAGCCCATTGGGCCACCCCTTTGTTGGCTCTTCTCTTCTTCACTTCTGCTTCAAAATGAACTAAAACCCCTTCCATTACAGTACTTCGATTCACCATGAACATGAAGGGCATGAAATAAAGCACTCCATCTGGTTCCTGTAGCTCCAACAAGCAAAACTACTGATGGGTTTGCCAAGATTTACCCGTCCCAAAGGAGGGGTGTCCGCATGTAGTCCAAATCTTTTCGTAGCCAATTGTGGACCTGCAGTTGGGCTATCTTTTGATGTCATTTCTTCTGTGTTCAACGAATTTGGTGAGGTGAAAGGGGTTTATCCGGCTGATGAAACTGGCACCCGAGTTATTGTTTGTTTTGATTGCCAAAGCTCTGCAGAATCTGCCATGGAAGCATTACATGGACGCCCATGTCCTCTTCTTGGTGGCCGTTGTTTACACATTCGATATTCCGTTCAATCTACTGACACTGTAAGACTTTCTTTTCTTTTTTCTTATTATGGCTTCCTCGGCCGATCAAGGACCCGGGGGTTTGCAATTTTTTTTGATAATCCTCCACGAGGAGTGATACCATGGCTGGAACATGATGTAATCGGGATTGCATATCCTCGAGAAGTTAGAATATAGGCAGTTGCCTCCTCTTTTGTAACAAAAATAAAAAAATTGGGGTTAGCGCGCTACATGATACCGAAACATCGTTTTCTACTTAGTTTGCTTTTGAGTTTTTCTGATTTGTTGCTGGGTTTTAGAATGCGGGACTGGTCTAGGCAGAGTGAGACTTGCGTTTGTGTAGCATACTGAATTTTCATGTTTGTATGGCATAGGGATAGCTTCATACCTGCATAGAAAAGATCCTAATCCCTCGGCTTTTGCGAAACAAATAAAACAATTTTTTTCTTTTTTTTTTTGTTTTTTTCCAAGTAGATTGCTGCAGCTTTAGATGCTTGACTTTATTATGTAAATAAAACGAGGGAATACAACAATCTCCTCTGATTTGCAACTGATATATTGTTAACAAGTTTATTAAATTTTCTGATACTTAGTTCAAAGGAATGGTGTTTCTGTAACTCTTTTCATTTAAAGCTTCTGTTTTAACCTTCGGTGATGCTTACCATATATGAGTGGATGGTTTCTCTTTGGTTAAACTAGATATCATCAGAGGAAATCAATAAAGTTCTGTCAGATAGTAGTCCTAGCTTTCCATTTTGAGATAATGCTGATGCAATGTGCCAGTAGTTGTGAGGCCTTTTGGTCCAGTCTTTGTTTTATCCTCTGTGTTAGTGATAATTAGCTAACATGTTAGTTTCCTCGGAAGTAAAGAAAGTTACTTTGTTTCTTTTACATATCTCATGCTTGCATCAATGTTAGATGACTTCTTTTCTGATAACCCTCTTTCATGGTTCTATTTGATTCAGTCTTTACTCTTTCATTCCTTCATTATATAGGTTCGAGCCAGGGACTTGGTTGATGTATCTTTGACAGATTCTGAGCTGAAAGTTCCTGGTGTTTATTTGCTGCACGACTTTGTTACAGTTAGAGAAGAAGAGGTGAAAGGATTTCTTCCGGTGTTTTGAGTGTATGAAGAGTTATGCTGATATTGATCTCCCCTATGATTTGAATAATTTTTTGTACAAAATTTGTTAGGAGTTGCTTGCGGCAGTTGATAGTAGGCCTTGGCATAATCTTGCCAAGCGGAGAGTTCAGCATTATGGATACGAGTTTTGTTATGCGGTGAGTTTTAACCTTGTTTTGACGGTAATTGGTATTTCCAAGCTTGTTTCTGGCTCGCCCCATGATTTCTTGTTTCTCACTACCAAATGATTTTTGGAGTTAGATGTCATGAATGGAAACGTCTAGCCCTGCTTCTGTCTGGGATGCGTTGTATGTCAATTCGGAATTGGGCTGAGGAATTGTGTTTTAGAAAAGTACATGTTTTGGTGTGTTATTGGTATGGGAAGGCTTGTACAGATATGTCCTGATGTTTATGAAACTTGATTTGGCTTTCCCCTATTAAAATTTTAATGTTCCTTTTATTGTTTAGTTTTTCTTGCAGTATGATATATGGTTCATTATTGACATATCTATGTAATAGATGCCACTTAAGGATTTAAGTTAATATTGCAGACAAGAAATGTCAACTTCAACAAGTGCTTGGGTGAACTTCCTTCATTTGTGTCTCCCATTGTAGAAAGAGTTTCATTATTTCAGACGCTAGGCTGTGCCGAAGATATGAGTCTGGATCAACTCACAGTGAGTGACACATTGATATTTTTCAAGTTATTGATGCTTTCGACCATTTCCACTTCAGATTGTGTCATGTTTTTAATTGAGCATAACATTTTCAGTCTGAAAATAGGGTACGTATAACTAAAGTAAATATGGCCACTGGTATAACCAAAAAATTATTTATTTTGGTTAACATAAATATAAGGTTTGTTACTGGAATTGTGAAATGTGTATGGCCATATGGATGATGTTTATCAAATGGCAGAGAGTTCTTGATTAGCATGGTTAACATTAGAATATTGGTGGGATGGGGGAAGATGTGTGCATTCTTAATCTGTAGGACGTGCAAGGTGCGATACGATAATAAATAACACATAACTTCATCCATTATTTCTCTAATCCTTGTTACTGCCAGTATCAGCTGTATATCTGTAACCTTCCTACTGTCAAACTGACAATATTTGGAGTTTTAGTGCAGGTTAATGAATATCCTATTGGTGTGGGATTGTCTCCACATGTAGATACACATTCAGCCTTTGATGGACTTATTTTCAGCCTTTCACTGGCAGGGCCTTGCATCATGGAATTCAGGAAGTATGCCACAGATGATTCACTCTCTAATTTCACCTCAGATTGTGATGATGAGGGCCCAGATTCCAGTGGTGGCTCAAATTTTGTAAGAAGAGCTATATATCTTCCCCCTCGATCTATGTTATTGTTATCTGGGGAAGCTCGATATGCATGGCACCATTATATTCCTCATCATAAGGTATACTTTCTCAGGAACTGCTGCACTTCAAATACTATTGGCTGGAGTTGGCTTTAAGACCAATTATATTTCAATGATGCTGATATTGGTTGATATCTGGAGTGTAGGATCTACTATGAGATATAAATTTCAGCTGATTATTGGAAATTTTCTGACATGAATATTGTATAAGGATAGTTCACTATCTTGATTAGTCGTCTTGCATTATGGTGAAACGCATAACACTGTTACTTATACTGTTATGTATTGCAAACTGAAGGTAGTATATTGCTTTATTCTTTTTCTTTTCTTTTCCTTTTTTCTTTTTGTGGGGGGGAAGGATATTGGTTAATGTTACTTTTCACGTAGTAAAGACTTCCTAACTTTCAGACCTTATATCTTTTTAAAATTCTTTGAGTTCTTGGAGCTCTTAAGAGTGGAAGCATTTTCCCACAATGCTTTGCTCCGTAAGTTTTCTAAGTCTGAAACTTCTTTTTTGTGATGCGATCACAGGTTGACAAAATACAGGACAAGGTTGTGAGAAGGGGTACAAGGAGAGTGTCATTCACATTGCGTAAAGTATGTTCTCTTTAATGTCGTGTTTCATATAACTTTTGGCATTTGAGTTAACTCCTCCTTATTCAATCATTTATGTTTCTAACATAAACTACTGTCAATTTATACTGCGTCTCATTATATAAAGGTGAAACATGATTGAATATGATCAGTGTAGCTTTAAATTTGATGTAGTCTTCCTATACTTTGAATTACCCGCCAAGCTTTCCATTCCCATTATGAGATTATATCAATAAAGAGCTTTTAAGTGGCTGCATTTGTGTTGCTCTTGTAGAGAAAAGTTGGTTAATTTATGTGGATGAAATTTGTATGCTTCGGTATTGAACTGATCTTAGTTAATGGAACTGGAGTTAGCTTTAGGAATTTCGTTTCTCTTTTAGTGTTCTCAGGATGGTGAGTGGATTGCACTCTTTTATTATGAGTAAAAGTCGTTGGAAAGAATTCAATTTCGCTAATTTTCATCTTGTTATTCAGAGTCTAGAGGGTTAATTTTCATCTAACTTAATAGTCCAAATGGAAAAGGCAACATTTCTAGTCTGATATAGCGCTAATGTTTTGGCAGATTGAATAGGAAACAGTGAGAGAATGCGTATTGTATTATTTTTAATTATTAGTAACTGAAAATAGGATAGAGATTTGGAGTTGACATGAACTTGCTTGATCAATCCTATCTGATGGTCATCAAACCATTCTTTTTCTTTTCTTATTCCTTTTTTTTTTTTTTTTGGGTTTGCAGTTAGGATTCATCAAATCATTATTGTATTCGTTCTTGGCTGGTCCTCCTTCAATTTTATGGATGATAGATAATTGTTTTTAACCACCTCTTTTTTATTGCTTTAAATGCAGGTTAGGAAGGGACCTTGTGAATGTGAATATCCTGAGTACTGTGATTCCCAAAAATAGGTCATTTTCAGGACTGGACGAATTCTAAAGACCTGGGTAGAATGCGACAGAAGTACTGGTTGCGTTAACGAACAGGAATGATAAGTTCTAATTCCCCGTTGGAAGCACAAACTGTGTACTATTTTCTTGTCGTCCAGATTGAAGAAAAAATGGAGAATGGAGCTTCTTGATACTGTGATTATAGTTCATGCAACGAAATTTTCTATATACTGTTCTGTTCCAGTAAATTTTGGATTCTTGATGTTTTCCGAGCAATGAACTAAATCCTTGACCTTAGCCCAGTTGAAATAATTTTCCGAGCGATGAACTAATTCTTGACCTCTCCCACTTGACAATGAATTCCAGGCCTCCGAATCCTGATGTGTGTGTTTCTCTTTCTCTTTATGGCTGCGAATATAATTTTGGAAATTTATTTAGCACCCAACAACAGTCAAATGAAGGGTAAAAATGTTAGGCAGATATACAAAATTATGTAAATTGCCCATCTTTACTTCCATTTATCCATCAAATTTCCAAAATTTATCATTGGTGGAAATGAATTCTAGAAATTACTGATGCATTTTAGAAACAGCTTGATAAATTATTAAGGTTTTATAGATGAAAAGCATAGAAAATACTCTCTCAGTCCCATAATTATTGTCCAGTTTGGATTTTCATTTCTAGTTCAAATTATACTAAAAGTGAAATCTCAAGTTGGATAATAATTTTTGGATAGAGGTAGTAACTTAAATCATATCCATGATTTTGCTAAATTTGAGGGTTTTAATATATTGTACGGGTAGAGGTTAACTAATCATCTGTTCCACTTCATCGTTTAATTTTTTTTCCCCTAAATTGACCATCACGTGCCTCGACTGCATCCCGATTCCAAAAAGAAATTTTGTTAGTAATTTTTAAAAATTATTTTAAGGATTAAATTCGATTACGGGTAAATGACAACTGTAGAAATTATAGGATTAAATTGTTTTTTTTTAAATAAAAATAAATTCATTAATTTGCTAAAAATCATCTAGAGCAATTGATAAAAGTAAGTTACAGTCATAAAAATACAACTTATAAACACTCACAATGCCATTATTGTGTTTCACTACATGGATAAACCTATATTGATCTATCCCATAAAATAACGGTTGTACCGCGTGCCATACTTCTAATTCGGTTAAGGATACAACACTAACTTTCGGTTGAAACCCCCAAATAGTAAACTTAATAATAATTAGATCTACTATAACTGAATCTTCTTGGACCATGCCTGCCAAACCGGCGAACACTTTCAACGTATCCGCATATATCACCGACGAAACCGGTCATACTAACAAACATCAACAAGGATGCCACGGGCATACCTGCAAAAATCCATAACGATGTTGTTGCCATATTGTAAATTATAATTTACAAACCGTTTATTAAAACTAAATTAAAACACTAAAAAAAGCTAAAAGATATGAGTAGAATTATTTCCTTTATTTTTTTTATCATAGAAAGATAGGGGAAGATTAATTTTTTTTTTTAAGTGTTTGAGGGAGAGGGAGGCGGCCAAAAGAGAGCCAGAGAAAAAAGGCCCATGCAATTGTTCTGTTTAAAGGATTAGATTGTTTTGTTTAAAGGCTAAATTCAGTGACATATCAATTAACAGCAAAAGACTTGATGTGATACTTTTGTGTTGCATTCTCTATGATATTAACTAAAATTTTGACATGTATTTTATCGCTTGTCAAACATGATTTATCGCTTGTCAAACATGATTTACTTAATATTTAGTTAGGTTGTTAGTTATCAATTACTTAAATAGGTATCCACTATTTAACTAATAACACAAGAAATTTCACATAAAATATCACAAAAGATCCTACATACAATGATGTATCTAAAAAATTTTTTTTCTTTATTTTATCAATTTTATTTATTCTTGTGCTTCAGCCAATTTAGGACCGTAAAGAAATGTTAATTACTCCAAATTATTGTTATTCTATAGAGTATTAATTTATCAACGTTTTTTACTATAACAATATTATATCTCCGTTAAATATTTTCTTAAAGAAAAACTCTTAATTACTTCCAGAGGAACCGTCAGTTAGATGACAAAGTGACGGTGATCTAGTTAATAATGATGAAGCAGTGTATGGAGTGGTGAAGTTGGAATCTACAGTCCCGAGTAGTATTTAAGGTTTCGCCTTCTCTCTACCCATCTAATTCTTTATATGAGTATAAAATATGATAATTGCTTGATTATGGTTACACCATTTGAGATATGGAATTTGCAATACCAGTAAAAGTTGACAGTTTATAGTGAGATATTATTCTTTGTGCATGAAATTAAGTTGGAATATGATTTTGTCAAATTTTTCCATCCATAGTTTTAGTATGCTAGTATTAGTCTTTAGCCTTATTAAAAAAAAAATTAAAATAAGAGAGGACAGATGTTCGTGTCAGAAAATCTGTCACTCATTCAACTTTTAAAGTCATTGTTGGAAAAAGAAAATGCCCCTTCTCTACGGATCTCTATTCCCAAATCCCATTTTCAAATACCCAAATTTTAACTTCTGTATGGATCTCTACTATGATGTTATCCTCCATTGAATATTTTCTTAAAAAATAAAAACTCTGGATTACTTCAAGTAATTAAAACTTAAAATAGAGGAGTGATGTTTGTGTTAGAAAATCTGTCATTCATTCAACTTTTAAAGTCACAGTTGGAACAAGAAAATGCCCTTCTCCATGGATCTCTATCCCCAAATCCCATTTCCAAATACCCAACCAACTGCTATAAGAATTAGCCAGCTCATGGATTCTGAGGCCTATCATTTTAGGCTGCATTTTGGCAAGCAACCCCACATCATTGAGCTTGGCCATGACCATCCAGCTCAATTCACGAAGACGACATATAGAAAACTGGAACATTTTCATGTCTCCACACCTCCTTGCACAAACCATTTCGTCATAATTAGGTTAAAGCTTTACCATGATGATTGGTGATGATACATTCGGGAGCTAATGAAAAAAAGTTACAAGCCTTGTGTGTTTGACAAAGAATCAGATCTGCAAACATCGCCTCGACAAAGTGGGCATACCCTGGGTTTTAAAGGGCGGATAATGTTAGATTATAATCAAAGACAAAAAAACCACAGAACTATTCAACCAAACATTTAAATATTCCACGTTAGGAACGTAGTCAAATCGAGTCCAACCAAAACAGTAATGTACCCGAACAATGATAATTTGCATCCATAATATTGTCATGTTTTGAATTCAATCTTCAACTCGAGATATTCTCATCATGTTTCAATATTAAACAGAAAAAGATCATCATTTTAACCACATTATAAAAGATATCTTATGTAACAAATAACTCGCACATAAATCTGGTCAAGGAAAATTGGGATCAACTAGAACTCAATAAACAATAAGCAGAATTAATCCTGGACTATCAGTCACTCGATTTGTATCAGTCCTAAATCCTGATCCAAACAAATAAACATATTGTTTCTTTTCTAATACTCGCAGTGGGTTAGATGACAATACCTGTGAATTTCCTTCAGCCATTTGTCAATGCATGTTTTGTGGTACTCATGATGGCAAGGCAGTATCCTTACAGAATCTCCTTCCTCATACTCAACAAGGCAAATGTAACATCTGCATCAGGATAAACAAAGACATGCATGTCAGATAGTGGGACCAATGGGCCATAGTGAAGCAAGATCGGCTGTTATATAGCTTTTTCCTGATTGAAGCTCATGGAAGTGAAAGCTCAAAGTGAGACAATTTCATTTTCAAGATGTACACAAAAGTTCGCTCCTCTGAACAAACTTCTTGAGATACATTTCCAATCTCTTATGACTGTAATGACTGATTTTCTCGCCATCTAGATAGTAAAACATACACAAACCTAATCTTCTGAGGCACCTCGAAAGTAAAGCATACACAAACCTAACCAAAACCCAAACCCAAAAAAAAAGGTGAGTACATGCTTTCTCATGCTGAATTAGTTTCAGATGAACCAGCAGCTACTACAACCAACAGAAACTTATCACATGTGGCACATATATTTGCACCATGCCATGCCTAAACACATCGTGTCTAGCCAAATCACACCGCATCCTCTTTAATCAATTCTTCCAATTATGTTTAGGTCTTCTGCTACAGTTTTATTTTGGATAGTGATGTCTTCCCCTTTTTATGGTCCTGAGGGCCGAGGGGGCATCCAAAGGTCTTCGGCTCAAATGTCTAAATCCTATCAACTACTAAGATAAACTAGATGAACAAACAAAATCTTTGGGAAACATGGTACACAGAATGGACTCATTTTACACGGTAACTATCATATGGTTCATAACTTTTAATTCATTCTAAGCAGTCACTGGCACTAAGTACTCTGCAGTTACTTTATCTTAAGAACACAAGCATAGATTACAATATGGAACGCTGCACCAATCACGTCTCTATTATCCTTTAATGTTGTTTCTTACACTCTCTAACTCGTTCACCCACAGCCTTCCACTCATATTGTTCTCTCACCTCACTCAGTCATTTAGACTCTGATAAAATCTTTGTTAACATAGTGTGGCATGAAGAAATGACGGTAGAGGAGAAAATAATACAAAACAATGGGAATGAGAGATTCAATATGAAGAAAATACAGTGGCACCCAAAAAACTACTTAAATAGTGTAGACTCAAGAGAAAACCACAAGGAAACTGAATATGTGAATATTACTCACTGGGCAACTTCTTCTTGTATATGCTTCTGTAATTTACTGTACAATCTTAAAGGCAAGGATTCTACGACTTCAATAGGTGCTGGCGCAGACCCAAGTGACGACATAGGAGACCGAGAAGACAAAACTACAGATTGCTGGTGAATTTCATCCAGAACCTAATTAAAATAAGTAAAAAAGTTCAAGGAGTATTTCAAAGGTCAAAAGCAATGTCTGGCAGATGTTGATAACATTACCTCAAATAGAGCCTCGGCCAACATTACAATTCTTGAGATGCTAGCCCTAGCATTAGTTTCATTATTTGAATTGATCTCTCGAGGATTAATCCGACATGTGCAATGCCCTCTTCGGTGCTGACCAGACATGATACAGGACCTCTCATGTCCAGAGAGATTCTCGAAGCGGCTTCCCAAACGCTGAAGGGCGCGTACCTACATGTACATCATTTAGTTTCAATATAAAAGAAAGAACTAGACAACAATTCTGAACCTGATGATTTTCAAGCACAACATAGAAACAATATGCATGTCATTCATGATTTTGACGTCCAGAAATTACTTTATTCAAATAAGTAAAACTATATTGCTCTACCTACAAACAGAACCATCGTGATGTTACTAAGCAAAGTGAATTTCAAGCTGTAAGGACACAAATTTACACCAACAGCTAAAAAAAAGCACTGCTTTTAAGACTGGAATGCTATGTAGCAACAGCCAGGGGAGAGGTTAAAGAATTAAAGTACAACCATAAAGCTAGAGAACTATTTGCTTTTGCAATGCATGCTTTCCAGCTAAGTACATTGAATCCTTACAAGTAAGATCACTGCAATATCAGAATCTGATAGCAGATTCTCCAAGGTCATATGCCTAAATTCATACATGTTGCCATTCATTTAAAACAAAATTTTATCACTTCAAATAAGACGAATCAACATCATCAAACCTGTGTAACCCTCTTGAGCAAAAATATTAACATACAGAGTAAGTCAGCAGGGAAAAATTTACAAACCTGCGATCTTATTCTTCTTCTGCGCTCAAGGAAATTTGATCTATATTCTAGAAGGTCATGATACCTAGCTTCTCTTGATTGTTGGGTAGCAACTTCAGAATGTTGATGTCCATATATAAAACCAGGCCTGGCATGTCCTCCCCGTCTCGAAAAAGCAGGAGAATGGATGGCATTTTCTACAGATGATGGCGGCCCTACTTCCTGTTCTTCCCCAACACGAGTTGCATATCCATTTTCTTGGCCTTGTTCAGAAGGACCAAAAGCTAAATCCAGAAAGGACGATCTCCGGAGAACCCTCTCACGGAGCCTGCCAACACTTAAAGATCTACTGAAACGCACATTTTGCTCGACTGTTTCGCCAGCTGTATTCCTTCTATGAGCAAGCCTTTCCTCAATAAATTCAGCAGATGAGTGATTTGCTGAAGATGAAAGCTCACCAGGGTCCACTCCAGCATGAATTCGATCTTGCAGTGTACCTTGGATAGATGTATTTTGTAGAGAGTTGCCTGTAGCCAATTCTGCATGAGGAGATGTGACAGATGGAGAAGTAAAGCACGTGGGGAAGAAATCACAGTTATGCACACCATTGTCCCCACTATTCAAGCTCGAAGTGCTTGGCTCCTCTTCAGTATTTGTTGGAAACCTAGTTGGAGCTGCACGAAAAGACCTTGCAGAGCCAAAACTGTTTGCTCTGTTGAGCCTAAAACTCATATTACCAGGGAAGATACTCAAACGAGAAAGGAAACGACTCGAGGGATTTTGTCCGCGGGATGAGAAAACTCCGGAAGACATACAACCACTTCTTGGATTATCCCATTCACCATTCTCAGCATCTAATATCTGAGAGCTTACTTCCTCTGCTGGCTGAACTTTAGCCCCAGAACAATGTTCCATCTTCATTTCACTGGAGTCAGATGTAGTAGCATTTACACAAGAATGACCGGCACTGCGTCTCTTAGACTCAATATCAGAAACCTGAAGCATAGAACTAAATTAGGCATTGTCATCCCAAAAATGATATAGTAAGCAACAAAACGAGGAGTTTAAGTGTCAGTTTCCATCAAAGAGAAAACAAATTTCCTTAACCAAAAATGAAAAAATGAAAAGAATAGAAACAAACAGAAATTTTGAAATGAATCATTTTAGATCAGATGATTCATTACAAACTGATTCAACAGTCATCTTCGCAGCCAAACAAAAACAAGCCTTGTTTTAAAAATTTCGGAATGAAAATTGCAGCTTGAAGACCACCTCAGTTACGTTTACTTGGAGTAAGGGGTACAACTCTTATAAGACAGATGTTAACTTCCATTGAGGTAATTGTTAAATACCAACAAGAAAAATCAGCTTCTTTTGACACACCTTTCCTGACAAAAAACAAAGGCTGTTCCTTGTAACCACAGAGGGACAGACACCAACTCTATTCCTGCAAAGTAAATATGAAACTCCACCACAGAACCTACCTATTTAGTTTGAGTATTATTAGAGGATTTGGAAAATTTCAAGGGAAGCTGATCATCATCATATGAATAAGACCTTCCATGTGGGGGCCGGCCAAATACACACTTTAGAGATATAGAGAACTAATCAACAAAACATAATACTAAGGTGAATAATGGAGAAAAGTTGAAAACTTTGAAACTAACATTAGAAGGTCTAACCCAATCAAATGGCGAATTTTCAATCACTTTAAAAGTGGCATTCAAAGAATTCTTCGACAAACCATAACCATTTACAGCAATACTATTACACTCAAATTCACAGTCTAAAAAAAACCAATGGAATAACAACCAGAAAGACATTAATTGCAAAATTGTAAATATTGGGGAAAGATCCACTGACCGGGGGGACAGCATTGCCTCGAGATCGGAGGAGACAAGGGGACTGGAACACCCTTCTTCTGTAAGATCGAGTCCTCCGAACAAACGACGGGGACGGAGAAACCGACGGCGACGGCGACGCGGACGGCGATGGTGACGACAGAGCTGCATTCTGCTTACTACTGCTTGAACCCATTTCCTGTGGGGTTGGGATATTGATAATTACCACAAATCGAAACTGAAATTTATAAACCCAACAAAGAAGAATTTATGTTCAAAGATCTACGGATGAATTCGCTGGATTTCTACGGTTTGGCGTCCAGATCCAGGAAACGGGTAACACTAACATGTTCATTTTCATTAGCAGAGTGTAAAAAGGAAAGAAGAATTATGTTATGAGCCAAAACAAAAAAAAAAAAAAAAAAACAAAATGTTTCTTTTTGTGTGGGAGAAAAATTAAAAATAGAAAGGGAAAGGGGACAGAGAAATGGATGGCGTTTTTCGTGCCCGTTTTTGAGGATTCAAATTTTTAACTTGTCGGAACGATGTGAATAATAAAACTATAAATAAAGGAAGGAATACCCAAAAAAGAAAATTAAAAAAAAAAAATTAAATCAGCTGGATACAGTAATGGCCAAGGTAATGTCATTATTTGTCGAATCCAGAGATAGTATAAAAATTGTGTATTGTGCTTTATTATAAACTAAATGGAGGTGCACCGCACGGTGGTGGGTGTAAAGTAACCCGGATTATTAATATTTGATATCAAATTAGTAAATAGCAAGAAGTAGGTGAATTTTGTTTTATTAGATGATATACAATTTGTTGGAGTAATTGTACAGAGAGTATTAACATAGAAAGAAAAGAACCGCTATGAACATAATACATGATATAAGATTACATAAGATAAGCAGAACTATTCAATTCGGCTTCGATGGTTGTAGTTTGTTCCAGTAGAAGTAGAAGTCTCCATTCTTTATTGAGTGTTGTTTTTAAGATGTATGTCCATATTAGATGAGATAGAAGTCGTTTTAATAATTCATCGACTTCTCTTTCGAACCAGGAGTTGTATGTGCACTGTCCACAATGGATGCAAGTACATGTTTTAGGGGTCGCCATTTTATGAGTTCAGAATTTTAGCTACAAGTTGTATTATAAATAGGAACGATGAATTAAAAAATATAGAAAAATAAAAGAAAGAGGAAAAAATGACAATAAAATGAGAATTTAGATACAATACTCGAGCCGTATTCAGCTTGTAGGGAGGTTGGACTGCGTTTTTAGTTTAATAGATCTATTTAGTGTATGAAAATTTGAATAAGAGAGTACAATGTTGTTAGTGAAGGGCTTAAAGATATTTGAAAAAACTAAAATGTCCAAATGGTCCCTTACATTTGGGCCTACTTGAATTTACGTCCCTTACATTAACATTTCAATATCGTAGTCCCAAACATTATGTTTTCACACTTTTTTGGTCCCATTTCACTATTTCCGGCTGTTGGCATGCCGGAATCAGGGGTATTTTTGTCTTTTAATTTAATTTAAATTTTAATAAAAATTTAAATCATTAAAAATATTTTAAAATTCAGATTGTATTATTTAATTGTTAAAATATTATTTATTAATTAAAAATATTATTATAAAATTATAAAATTTATATTATTTTCAAAATTAATTTTTTCGTTTATCATTTATCTTAGGTCAAAGTAAATAGTAATTATGTTGCACTTTTAACCTTGGACCCACTGTAACATAAAAATTTACCGAGTTACAGTAAATAATTCAAAATCTAATTTCTTTTTTAAAAAAAAAGAAAAAGCCAAACCATTTTTTTTTTACTCTGACCGCTATAGTAAACCCTAAATGGTAATTATGTTGCACTTTTAACCTTGGACCCACTATAACTTAAAAAATTTACCGAGTCACAGTAAATAATTCAAAATTCATTTTTTTTAATAAAAAAAAAGTAAAAGCAAAACCAAGATTTTTTTTTTTACTTTGACTGCTACAGTTGAATTTTGAATTATTTACTGTAATTCGGTAAATTTTTTAAGTTACATTGGGTCCAAGGTTAAAAGTGCAACATAAGGGTTTACTGTAGCGGTTAATTACTTTGTTTTGCTTTTTCCTTTTTTTTTTAAAAAATAATTTTTGAATTATTTACTGTAACTCGATAAATTTTTTAAGTTATTGTAGGTCCAACGTTAAAAAAGCAACGTAGCGGTCAGAGTAAAAAAAAATCTTGATTTTTCCTTTTTATATTGGAAAAAAAATTGAATTTTGAATTATTTACTGTAACTTGGTAAATATTTTTAAGTTACAGTAGGTCTAAGGTTAAAAGTGCAGCATAATTACCATTTAGGGTTTACTATAGCGGTCAGAGTAAAAAAAATCGTGGTTTTACCTTTTTTTTAAAAAAAAAAATTGAATTTTGAATTATTTACTTTAACTCGGTAAATTTTTTAAGTCATAGTGAGTCCAAGGTTAAAAGTGTATTATAATTACCATTTAGGGTTTACTGTAGCGGTCAAAGTGAAATAAATCTTGGTTTTATTTTTTTTTTAAAAAATGTTGAATTATTTACTGTAACTCGGTATATTTTTTAAGTTACAGTGGGTACAAGGTTTAAAGTGTAACATAATTACCATTTAGGGTTTGCTGTAGCGGTAAGAGTAAAAAATATCTTAGTTTTGCTTTTTATTTTTCTTTTTTTTAAAAAAAATTAAATTTTGAATTATTTACTGTAACTTGGTTAATTTTTTAAGTTACAGTGGACCCAAAGTTAAAAGTGCAACATAATTACTATTTACTGTGTACTTAAAGTAAATAGTAAATAAAAAAAATAATTTTGAAATAATGATAAATTATAAATTGTACAATAATATTTTTGATTAATAAATAATATTTTAACAATTAAATAATGAAATTTGAATTTTAAAATATTTTTAATGATTTAAATTTTAATAAAAATTTAAATTAAATTAAAAGACAAAAATACCCCTGATTCCGGCATGTCAACGGCCGGGAACAGTGGAATGGAACCAAAAAAGTGTGAAAACATAATGTTTGGGACTACGATATTGAAATGTTAATGTAAGGGACGTAAATTCAAGTGGGCCCAAATGTAAGGGACCATTTGGACATTTTAGTCTATTTGAAAATGTTTAATTGAAGAGGTGGTCGGCTGGGGTGTTTGTAGATATACACGTAGGGAAAGTTGTTAGTGTGTGTTATGTAGGTGTAGTCCATATGTTATATAAGAACAAACCTTTAGTTGTTTTTTTTTTTTTTTGGTTAAAAGTACCATTTTTATTATGTTAAAGATACTAATCTATTACATTGCATACGATTGAAAACTAAATTATGCATATCTCGTACATCCCATCTACTTACTTTAGTGATTGTACAAAAAGTAAATGACGAAATTAAAGTATTTACTAGTGAAAGGATTTCTCGGGAATCGGATGGTATCGAAGGGGATTGCAAGTCTTGCGATAGAACTTCACAATCCGTGAAAACCTGAATCCGAGTAAGACCAAGAGTTGCTGCTTGCTGTAAAGCTAAAAGACATGTGGTAGCTTCGGTTTGGAGTGGTGTAAGGGCATTAATCCCTGTGGTTGAGACTTGCATGATCATGCCATTTGGGGATCTAATTTTCCATGCTATGGCTGCCTGGCGTGTTTGATGACTAAATGAACCATAAAAAATAATCAAAGCAGTATTAGGCATCCGAAATGATGATCCTTGAGTAGGCAAATGATTAGTAGAGGAAGATGTTGGATTGATCCGTCGTTGGAGACTAAGAAGGGACTGAAAGTCCGATTGAATTAGATTCCAAGAAGTGGTGGAATCCTGAACTTGGTTTCTCCAGACTTTATCATTGCGGTCAAGCCAAATTCGCCACATAATGAGGAGTAGGAGATCAAAATCCTGTTTGGATGGCTATGTTTGACACCACGCAGTGAACCATTGGAACAGGGAGTGATAGGAAGAATTGAAGATGGAGCTGAATCGAGGGAAAGCAAGTGCCCAAAGTGCTTGTGATATCTCACACTAAGGAATAAGTGTGTACTATCTTCTTCTGCTCTAAAACACCGTGGGCAACTAGTTGTTATGGGAACTCCTCTTTTGTGAAGCTCAAAACGAGTGGCTAGAGAATTTAAACAAGCTCTCCAGAAAAGGAATTTTTGCTTGGGTTGTACTTTCGAATTCCATAGCTTCATCCAAGCTAGCTTCTCTGATTGTAAAATTGCAGGATCCGGAATAGGTTGTGGGATTGTGGAATTAATTGCCACTTGATAACCAGTTTTGACTGTATACCGGCCATGATCCATATGGATCCATTCTAAACAATCCTGTTCTTCATGTCTTGCTGGATCAATGAAAATACCGTTGATGATGGATATAATATGGTCTGGGAAAAAATTCCTAAGAGCATTGACACGCCATTGACCTGTTGGAGCAATAAACCTATTGACTCGGATATTTGCTGTTGTTAAAACAGATTGATTGCTAATCGGATTAGAAATTCCAAGAATCTAATTTGAAGAGAGCAGAGTATCCTTGCCAGATATAATCTTCCACTACAAATTGCCTAGTAATAATTCTGCACTCCAAAGAATGCTTCAAAAGCCCCAAGAAAGTTTTTTTGACGTATGCAGGGGAGGGAAAGTGTCACCTGGGCAATACTTTGCAGTGAAAAATCTAGCTAATAGTGAATGTGGTTCCATCATCATTTTCCAGGCATGTTTGGCTAACAGAGCCTGGTTGAATTCCTTGGTAGCCTTCAGACCCAATCCACCATGGAATTGGGACTTGGTGATCTTGTTCCAGGCACGCCAGTGAATCTTGTGATCTTGTGTGTCACCTTTCCAGATAAAGTTAGCAATAATCTTGTCCGCTTTGGCCAGAGTGTGCTGTGGAAGTTGAAAAACGCCCATGGGATGTACAAGCATAGAGGAGAGTGTAGATTTAGCAAGCGTGACACGTCCTGATAAAGAAAGTAACTTGGTCTTCCAAGACGCAAATTTGTTGCTAAGCCTGGTGGTAAAATCCTAGAAAATGGTGGTCTTATGCTGTGAGAAATTTAAAGACATACCAAGGTATTTACTGTGAAAAGATCCCCGGGGGATATTGAGTGTATCATGAATCAAATCTTGCATCGCCAGTGGAGTATTTGCACTTATCAGAATTGAAGATTTCTGAAGATTTATCTTCTGACCCGAGTAAGTTGTATAATTTTCCAACAGACTAGCAAGTGCTTGAATCGCCGAAGGAGTACACTCAATGAAGAAGAGACTATCATCAGCATACATAAGGTGGCGTAATCTTGGAGCTGCACGACTGATCTTGACACCCAAACCAGGAAAGGATTTAATTTCAGCACGAAGAGCAGAGGAAAGAACTTGTTGACATAGGATGAAAAGATAAGGTGAAAGGGGGCATCCTTGTCTTAGACCCTTGTTTGGTTGAAAAGGAGGAAGATTTTCACCATTAAAAAGAATGGAGTAAGACACAAATGTGACACAATGCATTATCAGAGTCAATAGTCGGGGAAGTATTCCAGCTTTAGTAAGAACAGCTTTAGTAAGGAAAGGCCAAGCAACACGGTCAAGCTTTGCTCATATCAAGTTTAATGGCTGCTAATCCAGAATCACCTTTTTTGTGGCGTATCGTCTCAAGAACTTGGTGAGCCATCAAAATATTTTCGCTTATATTCCGGCCAGGAAGAAACCCGTTCTGGTGATCATCAATGAGAGAATGCAGCACCTGTTTCAAACGGTTGGTGATCATTTTGATAATGACTTTATATTTGACATTACAAAGGCTGATGGGGCGAAAATCATACGGAGTCATGGGAGAGGCATGTTTAGGTATCAAAGCTAAGTGTGTTTGATTCCACTCTTGAGGAAAGGTGCCTGTACTAAAAGCCTGCAGTATGGAGGATTCTACCTCTTGGCCAATGATTACTTTATAATGTTGGTAGAATCCAGCCGGTATACCATCAGGGCCTGGAGATTTCCATGGTGCCATCTGATGGATTGCCTGCCAGACTTCATCAGGTGTAAATGGAGCATCCAGAAGGCCAACTTGATCTGAGGTAAGGGATTCCTCAACATTACTTAAGAAAGAGGTAATGAAAGAGGAGTCCGGAGAGGATTGGGAAGGTGAAGATTGTGACATATAAATAGCTGAAAAATGTGCTTGAAGCAGAGAAGCTATTTGTCTAGATTCCTGACACCAAGCCCCTTGATCATCACACAGTTCCGTGATCCATTTGTTACCTTTGCGTCTAGCTACCCAATTGTGGAAAAACTTTGTGTTTTTATCTCCCAGTTGTGACCAGTTAATCTTAGCCCTCTGTTGCCAATATTGTTGTTGAAGGAAGAGCACGTCTTCTAGAGCAATCTGTTTGGTTTCTAAAGCCATGATCAGGTGTGAGTTAGTTTTATCCGCCTCCCACTGGGTTTGAGCTTGACTGAACTGTCCAGTTAATTTGTGAACTAAAGAGTCCAGATGGCCGAACTGGGATTTGCTCCACTGATGAAGTTGGGTTAGAGTTTTATGGAGTTTATAAGAAAGGGTAGCTTGTGAATCAAGAATAGAAAGAGGGGGTGAGGACTAAGCTTGTGTGACCTGTGGAACTGAACTCGGACAAGTTGTCCAAAATTGTTCAAATTTAAGTTTTCTTCTTGGCCTATGCTTCTGGTGAATATCTACCAGTATAGGGCCATGGTCTGAACTCACAATAGGAAGGTTTCGGATAATGGCATTCCTAAAAGTTTGAAACCACAGTTTGTTAATAAAGGCTCTATCCAAACATTCAAAAATAGCATCCGAACCTTGGCGTTTGTTAGTCCAGGTGTACCAGCAACAAAGATGCTTGAGCTCTTCCAAATCATTCGCAGAAAGGAAGTGTTGAATGTATCTGGTTTCCTGCATGCTGACAGGACGACCACTATGTTTGTCCTCCTGTTCAGTAACCTGATTAAAATCACCTAATATAATACTAGGATAACGATAACCTTGGATGATTCCATTCAAGCTAGACCAAAACGATGTTCTCTCCTGTCTAGCAGGAGGACCATACACAAAAATGGTCATCCAGATTAAACCAGTTGCTTCGGTGACCTGTGTAACAATCACATTAGCATCCTGGTAGACTACTGCTAGTTTAAGATTAGCTATCCAAAAGAGACCCAGGCCCCCACTACTGCCAATTGGGTCTACAATGCAACAATTCTGAAAAACAGATGACTGAAGCCAAGCTAACATAGTAGAGTTTGCAGCTTTAGTCTCCATCACAAAAAAATACTCGGTTTATAATTTTTACTAAGCCTACTTAACATACTTTTGGACGAGTGGTGCTCGCCGAGTTCACCAAAAAAAAAGATAAATATTACTAGCTTGGATTATGAGTTTTGTAGATAATGGAAGCTAGGTCGATCCCACGAGGACAGCTAATTACCAAATTTGTTGTAAAGAAAAAAATGTCAGTCAACAAGGTGTCACTCAGGAGAATGGAAACAGTCACTCAGGGGAATGGGGGCCAGGGGTGTTCTTCTCCTCTTCCTGCTGTTGTAGTTGTTTTATTAGCACAGTAATGGTTGAGTTCTTGTTCATTCAGCTCACATATAACTCTAAGTCAGTTCCCATTTTTCCTAGAGTCATCTTTGCAACCTTAACAACCTATTTTCCAATGGTTGATTCCAGCTACAAAGTCATTAAGTTCTTAGGCCTTCAAGAATGCTTATGTTAACTAAGTGTATTCCTATCTTAGTTAAAACCATAGACTGTTACCTCTATGTCATAAGTTAAAGTTGAAACAATCCAAACCAAGTTTATCCTTCCAGATCTCCCTTAGTTCTAGCATGCATTCAATTTAGTGATCAAGTAAATGAATGTAGAAAACTTTCAACCATAAAACAATGAACAAAACCAAGTGCTTTGACAACTACAACATCATTGAGGAGAATAACCCCTGAAACTGTTTAGCCACTCATACGAATAAATGCTACATCTACTACATCAAAGGACATCATAGAAGTATGCATAATAAATAAAGTTCAAGCTAACAATCAAGAGATGAGAAGGAAGCTTGTGCGCTTTCGAGTCACTCCCGGGAGTGAAAGGGTTCACTCGTGGAACCGAAGAAGAAACTGGGTTGCTATTCTTCAACTTAGCTTCCTCACCGAGTTGTTGCTGCTTCTTCTTCTTTCTTGTCTTCTACCTGGAGTTTTTCTGAGTGTTTTTGCAACTAAGAAGCTAACCAGAGACTGATGGATAGATCCCCTTTGTGAGAGTGCAGCTCCCTTTTTTATAGAGCCTTGCAACCGGTGTCTTCATCATGAGAACCTCCCCATGCTTGGAGTTGTTTAAGCCTTCCAATGTCTTGAGCCTGCAATCCACTTGGGCGTTCCTTTTCTTTCTTCCAGCAGTAGCCGCTTTGCTCTCATTGATCAGCAGTGGTGGCTGGGATTGCGGCTGGGGGACAGCATGCTCTAGGAGGAAGCAAGGTTATTAATGGCAAGATGCTTCTTGTCTAAGAGCCTTCTCTTTCGTCCACTCAAGAATCTTCCTCAGCAGCCCATAATTTGCTCCTTTAGCTTCCAATTTTCAGCAATTATTCAGTCTGGTCCTTTCCTAACAATAACATGAAAATGAGCTAAGTAATTTGCATCAATGTTAGGAAATACCCCCAATTGTTCATCAGATATAAAGTTAAGTGTGATGCTTTTATGTAACAATTTAACCGTTATCAACGAGACATTATTCATGCCTATACAATTCCAACATAGGATACTCATTGAAACAGAGGGGATTGATCTGGTTCAATCCCTGATGCCCTTGCATGTTGCTTGCCTTCCTCCCAAGCCATCTCCAAATCTTTGAAGAGATTTTGCACCTCCTCATGCATCACAGTGTTGGACCTTCGCTTCTCTGGACGCTCCAGGTCGGGAAGAGAATCCTCAGAGTGTCTTTTCCTGCTACCTGTGGAGTTCAATGAGGTGTCAGAGGCAACAGAGTCATCAAAATCCTCATCTACAATCTTCATACACCATCCAGGAGTAGCAGGCCTGTAGGGGAAGCTTTGCTGAGCAGTATGCATAGAATCAGGTAGGTCTGATTCAGAAACCGCCATCCTAGCTTTCATGAAAAACTCTTCAGGATCACTGTTAGTCTGGGAGAATTCATCCAACAAAGAAGGTAGAGCCAAATCAGAGGAGGAACTGCCATGGGAACCTTTCTTCTTAAAATTACCTCTCCCCTTAGCATTAACAGGGATTCTCCGATGTTGTGGGAACCCTCCACCCCCAGTAGAGTACCTGGTACTAAGTCTTGGAGTCATCCGAACTCCAAAATTCACAGAAACAGAATCACTAGCAACTTCATCAGCTATAGCATTATGAGAATCATCACTAATTTGAAAACCTGAAAAACCAGAAACCGGAGAAATGTCTCAATGTGGTGGATAATCAGATACAGGAGGAATGATAAAATCCGGGACATGAAAAGGATTTTCCATCATAGCATCAGAAGGAGGAACATCCGGAATTTCATAAAATGAATTCGGCATATAAAATTCACTAGCATCATCAGGGAAGGAATGAACAGAACCCTGATAAAACTCAGAAGAGTAACAGGAGAAAGAATGGAAACTATCACCTTGGTCACCAGAAAGTGAAGAAACTGTGTCTTCTCCAGCCGCAGGAGCTGAACTTCTTGAATAATCAACCTCCACTCCTGCATAAAGGCTAGATCTACCCTCCACCTGGATTGGGGGGCCATCATCATCAACAAAATTATCAGCATTGATTTCATCCATAAACTGATCAGATCCCCCAGACAAGGATTCATCTTCATCATTATTATTGTCAGGATTAATGTCATCCTGATCCGGATCATCCGATTGATTACCATCATCCTCCTCATCAGCATTATCCAACTGATGATCATCAGGATTATGCGGGGACCAAGGGTACCAGGGAACTGGAGTTTCCTCATCAGTCTCAGAGATAGTGAAGCCATCCTGAATATAGGTATCCGGCACGGAATCATAGAAATCAAGCATTGCCGCCACTTTGTATTCAGGTAGTCGAGTACTACGCTTCTGTTTATGAGCGTGTCCCCGAATTGCTCCAGAACACAGTGGCTTATTAACATCCACTAACAGAGGAGAGTCAAACTGAGCTGCTCTGGCAGCAAAAAAATTATTGAGAAAAGTGGTCAGAGCATCATCCTCCATAAAATAACAGCGGGTGAGTGGATGACCCAATCGACCACATCTTTGACAAAACTTATGCATATGCTCAAACTTACATTTGATTTTGGCCATTTTACCATTCTTTTTTGTGAAATAAAAAGAAGGAACCAGAGGGTCACCAGGTTTTATCCATACCTTTTCTCTGACATAGGTGATTTTGCGCAGAGATACACAGTCTTGTTTGATAACTTCCACATCGCCAACCCTTCTGGCCAGATCTTCCAAGGAGCGGTAATTCATGGAAGTGATAGGCACCCCATGCAGGCGGACCCAGATGCTCATTTTCTCGATCTTGATACTATCCAAGACCAGATCTTCATGATCATAGCATCGATGCAGTATAAGTAAGCCACCATTTACAGCATATGGACCATTATCCAGAATAGCCATCATTTCAGCTCGATTCATAAACTTCAGGATGAAGAAGTTGCGGTCATAATGCAGGACACGAACTGTGACTGGCCAATTTGCTACCATATAGTCCTGCATGACTCTGTCATCTACTTCAAAGTCCTCAATCAGATAACCTAACAGGGATAACCGCAAATTATCGCGAGATAGCTGGGTATGGAAATTAGTCAGTTGCATGTTGCTCGATCGGAGGAAAGGACGAGAGATTTGCCTTGGATCTGGATCGATATGAGTGCGAAGGTCATGCCTTTCTTCCGAAAAGTTAGATCCTTGAAGTGACATAGCAGTTACCGAATTTTCATCCATTGCATGTCGATAATTCATTGTGAATAGGACAATAGATGACGTTGCAAAGAAAGTCCAGATTGAAAGTGAAGTAAAAAAAAAAAATAACAAAAACCAGAAGACAACAAAATGGAAGAAATTGAAGGGACAGAGAATGTTTGTTGTGTGAAATTTATGGACAAGAGTCCAAAGCTACTTCGCAGCAATGATTTCGGACTGTAGTGTGAAAAGAACAAGAAAGAAAGCCAAAAGGCGGAAGCCTTTATGGCATGGATCTAGGAAATCAAAGCTTTGGAAGGTGAAAAGGATATGAGGGGCTCAGGAAAAAAGGTGCAAAGTTTGATAAACAACCTAGCTTATAAAGACTAAAGCCACTTTGGGAAATTATGTGAATGTTTAACCTATGCAGATTAAAAAACTGGATGACAAGACTGGGAAGTGCATGGCATCCAAATGGCAGTTAAGTGCCGATTAAGTGCATCGATGGATAAGGTGAAGGGTTTTTTAATTAGAGAAACCAAGGATAGTGGGATTAAAGTGGTTTGTTCCAAAACCACGGCCGGGATCAATAAAGGTGTTAAGGAAAATCTAGTGAAAGAAGGAATAAAAGGCTGGATTGGGGATAATATGTCGTCAAGGTGTTTTTCTCTTGTAGAGAAGGAAACAAGACATTCTCTCACTAGAATTGTAGAGAGAAGGACGATTTACTCTAAAGTTTTAAGAGTTTACCTTTAGTTGTTAAGTAAGGCATGGTGTGGTGATATGTGGTAGTAAATGAGGTGTGTGGTTAGAATGTGTGTTTTGTATTTTTGTGGATTTTGTTATATTTGGGGGGCGGTTGTAGCTGTAAGTATTGTATTTTTCAAAATGAACGCTAATGATTCGCCGTGCAAAAATGGATATGGCGAATTTCAGCCTCGAAATGAAACTGAATATGCTCGGTTGTTTCAAGTTTTAGTCGGATATGCACATTATGACAGGGAACAGAAGACGATTCGTATGTCGGGTCAAGTTGAATCAACGATTGAGCACGATATGCATCAGTTGTTTATTCGCTTTTGTTCAAGACCTGAATGGAATGCCGTGTTGAGAGAGGTATTGCAAAATGGGGCGCCATTAAGGAGGATGGAGAGGTTAATGCAATATGCAGAGATGGTATCAAATACACCTCGGGTTTCTGGAGATGAGAACTCTCATCGCTTAGGATCATCTATGGACGTATGGATTGAGTTAAATTTTTTTGGGGATGGGTGCGTGATTCCTTTTTTCTTTTTTTTTTTGTATTACTATGTGTATTTTGTTTTCTTGTGATTTTTGTGATTTAAAGTTTCTTTTCTATGTGTATTTTGTTTTCTTGTGATTTTTGTGATTTAATTTTTTTTTTTTGGTTATTTCGGCTTCTAAACCATGTGTGGTCTATCCACATGAGATTTGCCATTGATAATAAAGGGTACATGAAGATGGAAATTGCTGGAATTTAAATTGATACACAACTAGAGCATTGAGTATATAACATTTGATTATATTAGGAACACCATTAACTACAACAACCGCTATGTACACAAAATATATATTTACACAAACATGATTTTGTGGGATATGTATGGTAGTCATGTTTGCCAAAAAATAGAGACCAAGTATTGCTCTATTGTCAGCTCCTACTGGAAGTAGTTAAGAGGTGTTCCTAATACGTACCAAAAGGTGGTTTTTCTTGGTTCTTAGTCTTGTTTGGCATGTTTGGTTGCTTGATGTGCCGGTTTTGTTCATGATGTGAGACTTCTTTTTGCAGGTGGGGTTGTGCTTTGTGGTTGAGTAGATGCACTTGTTTCTTCTTCGGTCATTGTTGTGTCTGCAGTTGTTACTTGTAGGATGTTGGAAGAGATTCTTTCTCGCCGGATTCTGCTGGTGTTAAAGATGGTGAAGATGGGAGCACATACGCAGTAACAATGTATTTCGTAGGTGCTTCTTTCGTGGCCTTTGTGCTTGAATGCAAGTGGAAGAGTCTGTCTAGATCTTCAAACTCACTGTTGAGTCGGTCGATGTCTAGGTGTCTTTGCTGTGTAGATAAAGGAAAAAAGTCAGATGGCCGGTTTAGTTTCATATGTGTGGATAGTGTTGATGAGGTGATATAGTGTGTTAGAAGAAGAGAGGAAGAGTACATGTTGTTGGAGTTTAATCAGTTCATCAGCTGTCATGGTGAGAAGATTTTTAGCTTCCTTTCCTTCAATTAAGGTGGTGAGATTGCCTGTTTCGTCTGTGAGTTGTATTTCGAACTGAAGTCTGTTAATGAAACTTGTTAATTCTATATAATCGAAGATTAAATTACTAATAGAACCTGTTAATTTCAAGATATAGATAACATATGCCACTGAGGCAATAAGCGGACTTATGCAGGTTTTGAATAGGGATAATTTGTTTTGTAGTATAGACAAGTAAAGCTCTTTTGATAAGATCCACCACACATTCTGGAACAATTTGGGCATGTTAATATGTAAAGATACTGATTTGTATTGACGATGGATGCCTTTGCTTTTACCCAAAATGATTTAGGCTGCATATGCAAATACATTCGAATGGAAAAAGTTATACAATGACAGTATTTTTAATGATTAAAACAGAGAAAAAGAAGGAGTACAAATGTTGTGATACTGGGTTGCTGGAGTTTGTTACTTGACTGATTTTGCGAATGCGAGCGGTGCTTGGTGTTGTAATTGCTTGATGCTGTTTTTCATACAATTTTCAGGAGACCGCAGCTTCTATGTATTCTGTGTTGGAATCTAACTTGAAATGAAATCGCAAGTGAAGATGTTATGTGAGATGGAAAACTTTATGCATATATATATATATATATATAAATATTTATGTATTCTATAAATAGACATTTATCAGAATGTTTCGAAGTTGAAAAGGGAAAAAGTGCTATCAGAATGTATTTAGTTGGACAGGTTATCTACTAAGTCTTTCTATTTAATCTAGTTGCTCGCAGAAAAGCAATGACTTTCAATTTCAATTCGAAAACATCCCAAACTAATTCAACAGAAGAATGGTTGTAACATTAAGGCATGTAGGTAGTTCCTGAGCTTCATATGGTGATTTTAAACATGTATTTCCCGTGACTGGAGTTGTTGAGCTCCATGGGGATGACGGTATTATGGGTTTCTATGTAACTAAATATGTGTAATGTGTATTAAATCGAAGGCCAACAGGTGTTGGAATCTATCAACATAGAGGCTAATGTCTGTTGGCTGTTCCGTAAATCTAGAAGTAATGAATTTAGAATGAGATGAGATGATGATATATTTCAATCATTTAGACACTAAATTTAATTATATGTTTACCATGATCGGAGCAGCTGAGCTTCAGGTATCGGTGGGTCAAACAAGATGACACTGTTGGGTTGTACATTAAGAGACAGACCTGGCATTTTACAGGCGGAATTAATTGATATGTATGTAGACATGACATGAAACAAAGAGCAGCGAAATTGGTGTGAATAAGTGGGGGAGATTAAGAGCATAAGAAAGCTTTCTTTTACCGTGGAAAGTGGTAACTGCCAATCTTGTCCCGATTGTTATCAGGTTCTTGTAAATATTGTTAACCAAATGTTCACCTTCTGTTTGTAAAGATTCCTCCCACAAGCTCAGTAGCAATTGTTTTGATCTGGAAAGCAGCAAAGATGTGGTAGTGGATTTTTTTTTTTTTTTGTATATTTCACATAGTGAAAGAAAGTAAAAAAGGGAAAATCCTGCTAAAAAAGTGATGCATACTCTTCATTCATGACAACAAACTCCTGTATGTGTTTTCCTTTGCTCTGAATAAAACATGGTGGCAGAAAGTGCATAACACCACACAGTACATCTGGGAAGGAGAGATAACCGTTAGGGGTTTTCCTTTATCTTAGATGGTTTCAGTTTGCTAAAAATACTTAAACAAAGAGCTTACCAACTCTCTCATTCGATGATCCCAAGAATTCTGAAAATTCTGCAAATGGTGTCAGCTGGTAGACATTATCCAGTGATAGATCTTCTTCTTTGGTTGTTGCCTTGATGTAGGCGCTCCTGCTGAGAACCATATGGTATTTATAATCCACTAGAATGGGGAAGTTTCTGTTTAGCGCCATGATTTTTTCATTTCCATTGTAGTAAGTCTTGTAGAGTTTCAGCACTTCATCAAGATCTGGGGCGTCTGGGTGGAATACAATGCATTGTATTTTGGTGTGCTGTCCACAAGTAGTTTGAATTAGTATAAATTGATTCATAGAATTAAACCTTTAATCAAACAGTATTAGAAATTTCCGAGTACAAACGGAAAAATCTTTATCAAATCAGAAATTATGATTCTTGAAAGAAAGTTTATTTGGTTTGGTGTTGTGACTTCTCAACTGAAACCTAATTGTATAAATATCCAGTAACATAAATGTATAAAGCTCAAACGAAAAGTATTAAAAATAAATTATTTCTTCTCATAATGCAATCATTAGTTTCTAATACTTTTTCGAGTATTCTAATAAGTTTGCTAACTCCAACCTCTTCTTTTTGTCCGCAAAATGCACGTTTAAAAATCGGATCAAAATAAATCGGTGATGTAAAAGAAGCAAGAAAATGCTCCAAACTATAGGATACAGCGAAAGATTTGAAGCTTATACATATCGATTGCTAGAATTGATCAATATCCCACCACCACTAAAAGAGAATTGTTTACAAATTCATTCACCCCTAGAAAGGTAAAATCATGAGAAAATAACTTTTATTGTTAAGTGTACAATAACCTTATTCATATGGCTATTTAGATATCAATTTATTTTGTTCGGTACTATAATTTTATACTGATGTCTCAGTAAAGGCAAAATCTCAATCACGCATTATCTGAAATTCAGCCAAACACAATAACGTCTACTATCTAGGGACATCCAGTTATCTTAAACATTGACAATGCAAGATGAACTACTAAAATCAACACGATTAAAAAATTCCTCATTTCTGCTGGAAGGAAAAATCAGATCTTAAAAAAAAGGGAAAAAAGGAAAAACGAATGCACAAGGACATTTCTTATTTCTTACACTCAAGAAAAGTTAAAAGATGATGAATCTTGACTAATTATTTCATAATCCAGGTCCCCCCAGAACATGCACAATGCAATTATTGGATCAAAATTTAGGGAGAAAGAAAGCGGTACCTCCTGATCGGTGAGAACAAGTTTCAGCTGTGTGTTTCCAGACTGAAGCTTCTTCATTGGTGTTTTTTCGATAATTAGTACCTATGTATACCACTCATGAAGTGTGGGCTCAAGATTGGCAGGCGCTGTGCATTTCTCTTCAGTTAGCGTGCACAAATTTGAGACAAGTTTGTGTAAATGAAGGATTATGCATTGCAGAAGTGTTTTACAACAGTTGAATTTAGGAAAATAAGCACATGGTTAAATACAATTCTACAAAATGATGTTCTTAGTAGAAACAATGCAACTGAATTTCTTGTTATATTATGAATTCATGTAAAATAGACAACGATCTAAATAACTTTTTTACAAATTATGTAAGGACTAATTTCTTACATAAAAAACTTCTTTTCAGTAGATAGTTTTCCCACATCATAAAGAACTGCTCTGGTTCATAGTTGTTGTGTCTAATATTTCACGATAAACGACATTTTTTGTGTATTCCGTACTCTCTATGAGTGTTGTTGCAGGCCTAATTAGTACTTTAAGTTGATGTATGGTTTTCGCTCTTGATAATGCAACGTAAAGTTGCCCGTATGAGAATACTGGTTCCTTTAAATATATACCTACGAAGTTCAAGGTTTGCCCTTGTGCTTTGTTAATTGTCATAGAAAAACAGAATCTTACAGGGTATTGTTTTCTTTTGAACGGAATAGATGAGAAGTTATCTTGTGGAGCATTTAGTGCAATTCGAGGAAAAAAGACTGATTTTCCTACATACGGACCAACTGAAATTTTAGCATAGATAACATTAGTGGTAAAATCAATGCACAGAAGACGTGTGCATTACATAGTCCTTCCGTTGGGTTAATATTCTTAAGCAAAATAATAGGTGTATTCTTTTTCAAAATTAGTTTATGTGGTGGTAGCCCTCGAGGTGTTAGAGCATGAAATAATTCTTGTTGGTCAGGCATTGAAAATGTATTTGTACTCTCATCACAACTCAGATAGATCACTTCATCCCTAGAAAATTTTTGAATTATGATATTATTAATCTCATGAGCAAATTCGTTTCTTGTAGTGAGTATACTTCTGTTTATATATGGTAGAATATCAAAATCGGGATTCGTAATACCAGGGAATACTGTGTGAATTAATGTATCCACTGAAGTAGATTCATCAGTAAAATGAATGATTACTTCTGATGGCAATCTGATTTCCCCCTTTTCATTAGTTTATTCAATACCGTTTCCTACTTTTAAAAGTAAGAAGAAAATTGTGGATCAAGACATGCTCTCATGTTTTGTTTCAATCTAAGTTTTTCAAGCCAATTTCACAACGGCGACATAACAATTGAAGCATTAATGACATCCTCTTCTGTACCTTTTAGAATTACAGGTAATGTTTGGCAAAAATCACCACCAAAAACAACAATCTTACCACCGAAAATTAAATTTGAGTTCCTTATATCTCTAAGCATAGTGTCAAATTTTTCAATGATGGTACATTTTGCCATTGTTGCTTCATCCCATATAATTAACTTTGCTACTCGTAATAGATAAGTTAGGGTACTCTGTTTTGACACACTACAAGGTGCAGATTCATCTTGATTTACTGGAATTTTAAATCTTGAGTGTGAAGTACGACCACCAGGGAGTAAAGATGCAGCTGCACCTGACGTAGCAGTAGTTTTCAGATCTTAGAGTAGCAAAGTGCCTTGTACAAAAATGTTTCGCCGGTACCTCCAGGGCCGTCAAGAAAGAAAGCCTTTGGTATGTTATTTTTTACACAGTATATAATACGATTATATGCAATTTGTTGTTCCTTATTTAATTGTTTAATAGCTGAAAGGTCTTCAGGAGGTATAATAATGTTTTGTTCAACTCGTAACTCTCTTGTAAAACTATCTTCCAGATTTGTTTGTAATTCTTTGTCTACAGGAAAGTAATCTTCAAGGTTTTTGCTCATTGTATAAAGG